TATAACATTACAATTAGATCAATTGTTAATTTATTTTAATCGTTAACTCTAATGTAACACAACTACACAACTAACTAACGCCTTGAAAACATAATTTTCTTCAAGATGGGTTTAATGTTTCATATAAAATACCTGTTGTTTACTATTACCATTACTTGTATTTACTCATTCCTTAAATTTTAAAGTCTGGAGACGCATACGAAATCGCACGAATCGTATACGAATCCCGATGCGATTGGTGCAGACTCGTATGCGAATTCGAATTGGTCTATTTTAATAATTAATTTGACATTTTTATTATTATTTATAATATTATATCAATGGCCAGTGATGAGAGGAACTAATATTATTTTATAATATGACCAATAGGCTGCGAAAAATATTGTAACGGCTTTATTGGCCACAAGACGTTAATAGAGCTATGAAATTACTGTACTGAATTTGTCTATGGTTGAACTAACTCACTGAATCTATATACAAGCGTACAATACTTTTAGTTACTATCAGCTATAATGATGCAGATCATGCTGTCACGTTAGATTTGACAGAGGTCTTAGTGTGAGTTTACATCAAATGTTGTCACTAGCGAGCGCGTTAAAAAAATATATGAAGATTTTAGTTCTTGAAAGGTTCCGCTAGGGGCGCTGTACAATCCGACAGACATTTAATGTCACTTTTTTACGCAGTCGACATCGAATGGGTTTGACGTAAACTCACACTACGCCTTTTCATTGGACTATCTTAGCTAGTCGATCGAAAAATTGCACGTTTGACACTTTTCTATACCACTTACTCTATGGGCCACTTAAATCGACAAAGTTAAAAAAAGAAGATCGAAAATTATATAGAAGTGGGCGTGGCTTTTCATGTTAACTGTTTTGCTCATAATAAACAAAGTTGTGTTTTAGACTGTATCTGTATAATACGAGCCCCCCAGAGACAAATTGCACCTTTTGATCGAATCCGTAAAAACTCCATACAAAAAAAGCCTTTCGACCATTTTTCGACTGGTTTGCGACTATTATAATCACGTGCACTTTGTCTAGATCCAGAGGACTAATGAATCTTGTTTTTAAACTCAACGTGGCTCATTTTTTACTTATTTTCTGAATTTGAATTTGAATTTGGACTTTATAAAAGAGAGCGTTGTTTCCGAATTACATAGTTTATCTGTCCATATCAGGTAGGTAACTTAGCTAAGTTCCCTAGGCGCGTACTGCCTATTTTAACCAAATTAAATTAATTTGAAACTATTCTTATAGTGAGCATGCATTTTTGGGTCAATTCCCCAAACACATTTTTTGAGCGGCGTAGCTGAAAATCATATGTTTTTTATGACATAGAACTTTGATTTTTTTTTACACGAAAATATACAGAGGTTCCATTTTGAGGACAACATTATTAATGAGTATTTTCTTTTACAAATTCGACAAAAAATAATTGAACTAAGCGTTTCTAATTTTGGTGCAGTGTCCACATCCTTAATTTCTTACAATATGTATTTTTTTAGCTGAAGATCAAAACAGAACTTAGGGAAAAAGTATATTTTTGGATTATACAATCTATCTATTATCTAAGATTACCAAATTAAGCAAGTTTCCCAAATAACTGTGATTAAGTCACGTCCTTAAGTTTTGTCCGCGAAAAATTTATGATTTTGGTGTCAATAATGAAATAGCTCGTCAGTTTCTTTAAAGATCAAACAGGATTTAAACACTCCCATCATTCGTTAGGTTTAGTACCGCCCCCGCGAGCAGTGACGGCAGACGGGTGCAAGACCTCTGCGTCTTCCCGCCAAAAACGTAAATGTGTTGTTTTTTTTTAAACGGACAACAATTCTGCAATTTTGGTGTCTTTTTGTATAAGATTTCTAAGCTATTCTTTTTAGTTGAATTCCTCGTATAATGTAAAGGAACTGTTTTCATACCATGTGTTAAAATGTTATTGTTATATTTAAAACAGATTTCATATAATTTAGCTTTTTCAACGAGAATCTAATTTTGGTGAGTCAATTTTGGTGTTTTTGGTGGTGCCAAAACAACTTATTGCAAACTTTTGATTCGCAAATGTCGTTTTTGGCATATTATTGTTTCGCAAATTATTGTTTGGCAAAAATATTTCACGATAAACTATTTACAAAATAATTTGATTGGTGCATAGAATGGAATACAATTTAGCTTGTGGTTATTATTTTGTTTAGTGGGTAGTTAATATAAAATTTGTTCTAAATTAATTGTCATATTTCATTCTTTTTATCGAAATTACCAAATGATTTTAACAATAGAGGTGATTCTAGCGCTCGGCGGCCGCTGCCGCGGCACGCTTCGCTCGCCTTCGCGCGTTAAGGGTCACTGTTCTAACCTAACCTAACCTACTATTTTCTGCGATACCTACTTTCTGTAACCACACTATTTTCTGTCAATCTCTTTGTTTTACATAAAATTCTTGTGAAAACCATGATCATCTGCCTTATGCTTTGATTTGTGGGTAACGGTGGGTAAGTATGTGAAAGTGTCAATTTGACCAAACAAATTATTTGGGATATAATATTTGGCAAAATAAAACATTTGCTATATGTATAAACATTTGCCAAGTAAAATTTGGCCAAATGATAATTTGACCAAATGAATTAGTTGCGAAAAGTACAGTTGCTAAAAGTTCATTTGGGAAATGAAACTTTGGCGATAAGTTGTTTGCGAAGTGAAATTTGGCGAAAAGTAATTTGGCCAAACGGAAGGATACCATTTTTCTGACACATGCCTCATTAAAAAATGAGCGAAGTTTCGAAATTACTTTGTATACTCCACCAACAAGGTGACACTGCCTTCGACGCTTGGTTGGCGCGCTTAGCTAAGTGCCCTATGCCCGACTCTCCATACACAAACATTACTATGAAGTCTCACAGTGCGCGTGGACGCACAGGGTGACACATGAACCAATCACAGAGCGGCTATTCAACGCTGTGCGTTCTGCTTCACTTAAACAAGCATCGTTTGTGAATACGGGCCTTAGTAAAGTGATCTACGCATCTCTCTCCAACATGCGTAGACGCAGCGGGCCATCGGGCGCGTACATGAAGGTGACTGCGTATTCTAAAGGCTCGTGATGGTACTCCAGCCGGTATCGCCTCAGCAACTGCGGATAAAATAATAAATATTAAATATAATATTTCGCAGGCAGTAATAAAGTTATACAAAAATACAGCAGCACATTAGAATAATTTCTGTTGAAAAATAGCGCCTATAAGCACTTGTCTTACCACAGATGAGAAAGTTAATGACGACTATTTTTTCAAAAAACGTACAATAGATCTACAATCCTATATCAAAAGAGTCTCAGACAGATTGACGTCAGAGGCCTAAAGCCTAATGTTGGTTCTTTTTAGTCGCATTTTACAACATTTACAAAAACAACGGCACTGCCGTTACGGCAGTATGCCTATTCTACGTTTCCTGAACCACAAATTGGATTTACTTCAAACTGTAGATTCCCAAGCTACTAATTTAATCACAGTTTTTGTCACAGAGCGCTAGTAGTCATCAAGTATGGCGCAAGGCGTTCATATGACTAAACTAACCCCCATAATAGAAGGCTTATAATAGGCTAGAAGCCACGATAGCCGAACGGTGAAGGGCCGACTCGTGATCCGTGGAACGCGGGTTCGGTCCCCGCCGCCGCTCGACTATTGTGGTGATCTCACTCGTGACACAAGCATAATTAGCTTAGTACGAGGGGCTAACGGGAGTATTAGTAAATAAATATCTTTGGACAATTTCACACAACGCTATCTAGCCCCAAATGAAGTAATTTGTGCAATAATAAATTACTAATAATCTTAAAAAAAAAACATATTTAGCTTAGTACGAGGGGCTCACGGGAGTATTAGTAATTTGTGCAATAACAATTACTAACATATCTTTAAAAAAAAAGCTTTAAGCATGTTAAGCACTAAAATGACATTTCTGTACTACACGTGACTTCAAACTATTGCTTTAGGCCCCATGCTATTGACCAGTTTCAAACTGGTCGCGTCATGTGTGGTCTCTCAACGTCCGCTATAGCAGAAACTTAGATGCAACTCAAAAGTAACTAAAAGAGGCAGTTTCGTTGCAGTTGCGTTTCACCGTGTGTTCTGGGCCTTACAGGCAAGTAACTTTTTTTAGTAAGAGAGGGGTAGAAAGAGAATTGTAAACACCTTAGCCAACAGCACTTGTATCTCCAGATCAGCGAAGCGCCTGCCCAGGCATATCCGGGCACCGAACCCGTACGGCAGCGAGGCGAAGGGATGCAGCCGGCCGGACTCCAGCCACCGCTCCGGACGGAACTCTTGAGGGTCGGCCACGAACTGCTCCATGTTGCCCGTCACTATGGTCGGAAATACCACTTGCACCTGGAAGAATTTTGTTTTGAACCTTAAGACAAGGATATAAGAAAAATATAGCGGGATCTTTAGAAGCGCTCTTTAGTTCGAACCAGGAATCCTGAGATAACGCGTTCAACCAAACAAAAAGCAAACTTTATAATCTAACCCCTTACTAATAAAACTTACACGCTTGTTGAACAGTGTTTTAAAGTGACGTTTAGTATGGAAATGTCATTTGAAAACAGTGTTCAACAACTGTGTAACTTTTTATTAGTAAGGGGGTTAATGTATAAAAGGAGAAACTGACTGACTGACTGACATATCAACGCACAGCCTAAACAGCTAAACGTAGGCACTTGAAATTTGGAAGGGACGTAGCTTAGGTACCGTAGGTGCACTAAGAAAGGAATTCCCGAAATTCCCACGGGAACGGGAATTAGCGGGAAAATCCTTTTGTATGAAAATCTAAACCGCGTAAGATAGATGAAGGGGGTAAAACGGGATCGACCCGTACGATGTCGCGGGCGGCCGCTAGAAATTAGTATAGAAAGGAGTCTACATTTCTACAATTTATACTTGACACATACACTAGATAATATTTTTACAAATTAACTTACTCCTTTTGGAATATGATATCCACAAATGACATCGTCTTCCTGTAATGTCCTTCCATTTCCAATAACTGTAGAATACATTCTGTAAAAAAATAAATCTACTCAGTTAATAGCTCTATGATCAGAATTATGTCACCCCAAATAATAACATTCCCATCTAATTATGTACCACCTAAATAATTTTAATAAGTTTAAAGTTTGAATAGTTTCCACTGCAGAAGAAGGATTTTTTCCAATTTAATAGACCTTCATACACTCCCCGCCCTGACCAGACAGATTGGGGAGGCATGTTCGCATATTATTCCCGTAGTCACTATTTACTATCCACGGGAAGAGAGGATACCACACGATCAAACAATAATAACGTTCCTCAATTAGACCTAAAAATCTCAGTTCTGCCTGAAAATCTCATTAATAAAAAACTAAAGAAGTCCCTATTTATGGTACTCACCTAAAAACTTCCCTAACAAAAGCCTTAGTGTAGTGCAGTTTGTCCAGGTCTGCGTACGTGAGAGGTTTGCTCGGGTCCGGCAGAACTGTTCGGATTTCTTCCGCCATTTTCTCCTGTTGTTTCGTCCGCAACGCCGCTTGGTAGAGGATAGAGCAGACCGCCATTGATATCTGGAAGGATAATACAAAATGATAAGTAACTAAGAACTAGGATTATGAAAAGGTTGTAGATTCTAGACAGGATCTGCAGAATAGTTTGGGACATAATAAAATTCTAACGTAAACGATGACAATGTTTTGTCGGTCACCATAAACGATATGTTATCATCATCAAACTAACACATAGTTTGTCGACTTTGTTGAGAGGTTAACGGACTTTGATTGATTTGTCTATGCATGGAAATCGCCCGCATGCGACGCGGACCAGAGTGGCGAACGAAAGACGGCCCCGGCCGCAATACAGCAGAAAACTGAATCCGGCTCGAAGGACCATAATGTTGCTTCGAAGACTTCCAACGAGAGTTCGAAAAGGGAGTTAAAAGGGGAGGAAGGCTGGAGATTGGAGAGTGGAGGTGCAAAACTAAGGGGTTTTGCGGGTTGGAAGGGTAGGTACAGGGGATTTGGTACAAGAAGTTTCAGGAGTAAACCTGCAGTTTAAACATACCGTGTCAATTCCCACTAGGATGAGGTCCAGCGCCATGATGGTGGCGATCTTGGTGTAGCCTTCGCTCTTGATTTTTTGGGTTGGGAGGGCGCAGGAGACTTTGTACCAGAAATGTTTTATGGGTAGAGGCCCGAGGGTTTACTTGCTGTTTAAACATATCGTGTCAATCTCCACTAGGATGAGGTCCAGAGCCATGATGGCGGCGATCTTGAGATAGCCTTTGCTCTTGATTTTTTTGGGTTGGGAGGGCGCAGGAGACTTTGTACCAGAAATGTTTTATGGGTAGAGGCCCGAGGGTTTACTTGCTGTTTAAACATACCGTGTCAATCCCCACTAGGATGAGGTCCACCGCCATGATGGTGGCGACCTTGGGGTAGCTTTCCCTCTTGATTTTTTGGGTTGGGAGGGCGCAGGAGACTTTACCAGAAATGTTTAAGGAGAAGAGGGTTCACCTGCTGTTTAAACATACCGTGTCAATCCCCACTAGGATGAAGTTAATGGTGGCGATCTTAGGGTAGCCTTCGCTCTTGATTTTTTGGGTTGGGAGGGCGCAGGAGACTTTACCAGAAATGTTTAAGGAGAAGAGGGTTCACCTGCTGTTTAAACATACCGTGTCAATCCCCACTAGGATGAAGTTAATGGTGGCGATCTTAGGGTAGCCTTCGCTCTTGATTTTTTGGGTTGGGAGGGCGCAGGAGACTTTGTACCAGAAATGTTTTATGGGTAGAGGCCCGAGGGTTTGTTTGCTGTTTAAACATACCGTGTCAATCCCCACTAGGATGAGGTCCACCGCCATGATGGTGGCGATCTTGGGGTAGCCTTTGCTCATTGTCATTCTTGGCGACTAAAAGTCCAATTGAATACCATCTTGGTTTTCATATTACTAAGGTGGAAATCTTTACCACCGCAATGCAGGTTAGTAGGAGCGGAGACGTGTGCTATAGTAAACTTGTATTAGCGCCATCTATTGAGCGATGCCTGTGTTTGTAGTGCGAGTCAATAAATGTCGCCACATTAATTAGCTAATAAGACATACCGTGTCAATCCCCACGAGGATGAGGTCCAGCGCCATGATGGTGGCGATCTTGGGGTCGCCCTCGCTCTTGAGCACGCGCTCCAGGAGAGACAGGTCGTCCTCTGACGTCACCTTCTTGGTCTTCAGCCTTTCTAGAGCTTCACCCAGTGTCCCAGATCCCCTTGCTAAGAAGCTTTAGCACGAAATCTGTGGCATCCGTGGCGAAGCACCTAGTCTACGGCCCTACCCTCTATTCTCCTAACTTCTTTCCTGACTCAATTCTCGAAACACTTGCCTGAGCTCATATTTGTCTTTTTGGACGGGGTTGGGAAGGTAGAGGTGGTAGAAAGACTGCCAACGATAAGTCGAAAAAGAAGATTGGGGGAGGCTGGCGATTGAAGTGGGTGCAAAATGAAAAAAAATGAAAAAAAGTTGGGTATTTTCGGGGACTTCGTACCAGAAGTTTCAGGAGTTCACCTGTATTTAAAACATACCGTGTCAATCCCCACGAGGATGAGGTCCAGCGCCATGATGGTGGCGATCTTGGGGTCTCCCTCGCTCTTAAGCACGCGCTCCAGGAGAGACAGGTCGTCTTCTGACGTCACCTTCTTGGTCTTCAGCCTTTCTAGAGCTTCACCCAGTTTCCCAGATCCCCTTGCTAAGAAGCTTTAGCACGAAATCTGTGGCATCCTCCCAAGATGCGAAGCACCTAGTTTTATGCCCCTGCCCTCTATTCTACTAACTTCTTTCCTGACCCTATTTTCGAATGACTTCCCTGAGCACATATTTGTCTTTTTGGAGGGGGTTGGGAAGGTTGGAGGGGTAGTAGAACAACTTCCAACAAGAGGTGGAAAAGGAAGTTAGAAAATTGGGGCAGTCTGGAGATTAGAGAGTAGGGGTAACTAAGGGTTTTAATGGGTTCGGAGGGAACAGAGAAAGTTTCAAGGGTAGTTTTAAACATACCGTGTCAATCCCCACGAGGATGAGGTCCAGCGCCATGATGGTGGCGATCTTGGGGTCTCCCTCGCTCTTGAGCACGCGCTCCAGGAGTGACAGGTCGTCTTCTGACGTCACTTTCTTGGTCTTCAGCCTTTCTAGAGCTTCACCCAGTTTCCCAGATACTCTTGCTCCCCGCTAAGACGCTTTAGCACGAAATCTGTGGCATCCTAAATCTGTCGCCATAACAACAATGTTAACAGCATTGTTGTGTTCCGGCAGTTAGAGGTAAGATAGCCAGTTCCTCCGTGGTTGAGGATTCCGGGTGAAGCTCGCTTCCACCTTCGGCCTGATCCTGATCGTCACTTACCATCAGGTGAGATACAGGCCAAGAGCTTCCTCGTTATGGATAAAAAAAAATCCTTCCAAGATGCGAAGCCCCCAGTTTTACGCCCCTACCCTCTATTCTCCTAACTTCTTTCCTGACTCAATTTTCGAAACACTTCCCTGAGCTCATATTTGTCTTTTTGGAGGGGGTTGGGAAGGTTGGAGGGGTAGTAGAACAACTTCGAACAAGAGGTCGAAAAGGAAGTTAGAAAATTGGGGCAGTCTGGAGATTAGAGAGTAGGGATAACTAAGGGTTTTAATGGGTTTGGAGGGAACAGAGAAAGTTTCAAGGGTAGTTTTAAATATACCGTGTCAATCCCCACGAGGATGAGGTCCAGCGCCATGATGGTGGCGATCTTAGGGTCGCCCTCGCTCTTGAGCACGCGCTCCAGGAGAGACAGGTCGTCCTCTGACGTCACCTTCTTGGTCTTCAGCCTTTCTAGAGCTTCGTTGATGTACCGGGAACAAAGTCTGGAATGTTAGAATACTTTATTAGCATGTTGTCTCTTTTGCCGCCACTTCGGAAGAATAACGACTGGTATATAAAACTGGCGAATAAAAGTTCCATAATTACTTATATACTTACAAATGAGAGTTAACCAATCTTATGTTATTCATAATTATGCATAGTATATCACCGCTAAGAAAACAATCGGGTAATGATGCTGAAATACCAGTTTACCTAGAGCTCGTTCAAACAACGAAAATCGTTCAAGAAAATCCTCACACATTTCTTAAGAATTTTATTCTTGAAGCAACTAAATAAGGAAAAGATTAAGATACTTTAGTAATGGCATTTTAATACAATAACATCAAATTAAATTGCTTTCTATCTAGTGAAGAATGATATAGATTTGGAGTGGTCAATTGAAAAGGTGAAGGAATTTTATTTCGTTCGATTACTGACTGAGTAGGTATTGAGGTGACGTATTTTGAAACAATGCTCAAAACACATTTCAATAACAAGGGGAAAATATTACTAAATACTCACTCTACAAAGAAGTTCATGTTAACGTATTTTGTCCACAGCGGCGTGGGGAAATACCGCCAGTAGGGCACCTTCAGAATAAATGACATGCCTCCTATTATACTGTCATTTATGAAAATGGACCTCAAAATAATCTACATAAAGAACACAATCNAAATAAGGAAAAGATTAAGATACTTTAGTAATGGCATTTTAATACAATAACATCAAATTAAATTGCTTTCTATCTAGTGAAGAATGATATAGATTTGGAGTGGTCAATTGAAAAGGTGAAGGAATTTTATTTCGTTCGATTACTGACTGAGTAGGTATTGAGGTGACGTATTTTGAAACAATGCTCAAAACACATTTCAATCACAAGGGGAAAATATTACTAAATACTCACTCTACAAAGAAGTTCATGTTAACGTATTTTGTCCACAGCGGCGTGGGGAAATACCGCCAGTAGGGCACCTTCAGAATAAATGACATGCCTCCTATTATACTGTCATTTATGAAAATGGACCTCAAAATAATCTACTTAAAGAACACAATCAAATACTCACTCTACAAAGAAGTTCATGTTGTTAACGTATTTGGTCCAGAGCGGCGTAGGGAAGTACCGCCAGTATGGTGCCTTCAACTCCAGCACCGCTACGTTCCTCAGCGCGTATTTGGCGGCATCGATGATCCTCTGGGGCTCCGGGTTGCTGGACAGGTCTGAGGAGAGGCAGCCGAGCCGCACGTCTAAGGCTACGCGACCGATGCCTGGGGACAAAAGGCTGGTATGGTGAAAGGGGTATTTTTAACGCGCGAGGGTAAGGGTAGAATACGAAATTTTTATACACGCAATTTTGCGTGCAGCGTTCTATAGGTACAACACGGTCGAGTTAACTGCACACCTGGCAGCCGTGACGTCACATAGATGCTCTCTGTTACGGATGGGGTAAACGGGGCAAATCTGCGGGAAAGTGGGAGGGAGATTCGCATTCCAGCGAGGTGCGCATTATAGTTGGATTGGGATGTACAGTCGTAGTTAGAGCTCAGCAACGTCAGAGCTAAATCCAATGCCTGGAGTCATAGATAAGCCATAGAAGGGTGGTATGACCTGATGTAATTGATGTAATTGTGTATTTTACCACGAGAGGCAGAGTAAAGGCTCAAGTTGCAGACAGGAGATAGAAGGCTGGTATCGTAAAATTTAATTGTGTATTTTTACTTTAAGAAGCAGAGTATAGGCTCAAGTTGCAGCCTTCGACAACGATTCCGAACTTACATAACATAACTTACATAACTATATGGACTGATGTGCACACAGAATAGACAGGAAATCTACCTACTGTAAGCGTGGCCATACCCATGACCATAACCATCATCATGACTGTTAAAACACAAGAGCTACTCACACTCCAACGACCACCGGTGGATGTCATTGTCGAACTGGTGTGGTAAATCACCGAGCTCGTCCCGCGCGCCTTCCATATACTTGATGAAGTCTTCGGTGACCATCTCGATGGGGCCCACGTATTTCTTCACCGTCTGAGGCTGCAAGATCGGCCTCTGGACCTTCGAGCGAAACTTGCGCCATTGCTCGCCGTGTCTGGAAGAAGAAAATAATTCATTGACTTTTGTGACATAACCCGACGGATTAGCAAGCTGAAATGGCAATGAGCAGGGCACATAGTACGCAGAACTGACGGATGGTGCAGCAAGGTTCTGGAGTGGAGGCCGCGTACCGGAAAACAGCGTGGGATGTCCACCCACAAGGTGAACCGACGACATTATAAAAGTAGCAGGAAGGCGCTGGACGCAGGCCGCTACCAACCGGTCAACATGGAAATCATTGGGAGAGGCCTATGTTCAGCGGTGGACGTCCTATGGCTGAAATGATGACGATGACTTTCTATAAAAAGGCTTTTAAAGAGCTCTTTTATACGACCCAACATATTTTCCACCCACGCTCACGCAGAGTGATGATCGCAAATCATCTTTTATGGAGTTACTGTAGGGTGGGATCCCCATACAAAGAACGTGTCTTTTTGGCATGTCATCACAGAACAAATGCAAGCATTTAATATAAATAGTCAGGTAGACAACAAATGTACCAAGAAACCCTTCTTCCGAGTACATTATTTTTTATCTTATGCAATAATTAAATAATTTATCTGTGAACATAATTGGTAATATCGTAATATCCAGTTTTGATATCTTGTATCGTAGAGCAATAGTTTACAATTAAAGTGACTCTCCGTTACATAATATCACACAAGAAACAGCCTTATTTATTATCTTACAGGTATTTGACCACATCGCATGCAGTCCAGGATGGTACATATCTGCCCTGTGTAAGTGCCTATTCACTCTCGCCTTGAAAAGGCCCGGATTATAGTGCCAATGGTGCCAATGCCAATTTATCATTTTAATTAAAACAATACCTACTCGTAATAAGTTAATTGATGTATTAATTCAGTTCCGATATTTCCGTAACTTTTTGACCACTTACTCTAAAAAATCTCCTAAAAACGCAGCACGCAATCAACGTATGATTTCACTTTTTAAAATAATTCCATTAATATGATAACGTATTTTTAATTGCACATCTTTTGATCGACACAATAAAGGCATACGAAATCGTTTTTTACACAACAAAACCTTCTACAAAGGTTAAAATTATTTGCCAACGCCTTATTAATAAAATTGAAAGTACATATAGCTACTAAGTAAGTACCTACTAAAGATTTTAATTTTCATTTCTTTCATACAATACTCGTACTTCGTAATTAGCAGTAGGTATTCCGAGCAAATACTGTTTAACTAAGAAGTAGTTAAGAAAGTTAGGAGAAAACGACATGCACTTAAGTATTTCATACCAGTCAAACAATATTGTTTACTTGTAAACATAACACAAATGCATGCATAATTTTCTTTAGTAAACAATTGACTTACAAAAATCTATTAAGATACCCTACAGCATGATAAAATAATGATACATAACTAATAAGTTCGTTCGTTAGTAATTATATTTTTTATTTGGTTGTATAACTTATTTTAAATATTAATACTAACATGTTCGTTACGTGAACCAGGCTAGGTAAAAACCAAATGTTTTCTGAGCACGTAGGTATTTTATTGTGATCTAACTTTGCGTACTGATAAGTTTGTATATTTCATTCATTTATTTATACTACGAGTATCATCAACTTAAAAAAAAAACTTGATTTTAAAAGGTGTCCTGATACTTTAAAAATCTTAAAAGCATTTTGATTAGTTTGAAACAATCTGTTTGTTTTGTAGGGTTGAGTTTTTCGGCTGACAAGCGGGGTGAAGGGCTCCAAATAACAACACCGCGTTGTGATGCAAAAATGGGGGTACTTTATTTCAAAGTACGGGGCAGGTAAAAAAATGAGGTGCGGGCGTCTCCCGTCCGTAGACCAATTCCCGCAAGGACGTTGGACACAGACGCGGGAGAATCGCTGGCAATTTGTAATTAGGCGTTCGGAAGTCCCAATCTGTGATTCCCCGAAAGAACGTCACAGTCGGATGCAACCTTGGCTTATTACTTACGCCTCACAAAACTACAATATTCAACATAATCGTCGGAAGGTCTTTAAGGGAAAAAAAATCTGGACACCGCGGTGTAGAAATCGACTCTCAATGTGCTAGTGTCATCTAGCGGCGAGCGGCGCAAACATTTCCTAGACTGGATAGATCTTGCAATAAGCACGGTGATCCGCGGTGGCTTGGTAATGCAGGCGAACACCACGAGATGGCGCTAGTAGTATTGATTGATAAATGTGACGTTGTTACAACCTCCCCCTCAGATCACGAAGTCGTCCCGACGAGAAGATCTGGATTACGTTCTTGTGACGTCCACGGCCTCGTCGGTGAACAACTGGTTCATCTTTCGTCTTCTTAGACCATCTTCTGAAGTTTCGTTTGTTCCATCTTTGATGTTTGCCCAGGGCTTTATGTGAAGATGTCATACAGAACGCAGGTCCAGGTTGTCTGGTAAATTCATAAGAACGTTCGCATCTTGGAGTGTTTTTGCCTGTGATTCTTCGCGATTCCTTGACTGCGGAATGTAGATCACTTAGTACCAAATCTTCATTTTGGTATTCTGGACGACAATGAGACTGTTTGTCAATTGTTTCCATAACAACAGGGGTTTCTTTCCCCTCCCCCTGCTCATGAACTACTCCCAAAACATCTGTATTCATGTAAAGGAGTCTTGTATCTGTCTTTTCTAACACAAAGTTTGCAGTCGATCCATGATTCAGTTTCGTACAAGCAGTCTCCTTGACGATCTTCATATTGTCAAACATCTCTGGTTTCGGTGTTGTGGCTATACGTATGTCAATGGCATAAAGTCCGATATCTTGATTTTGTGTTTTTGATCTTGTGCATGTTGGACATTTGCTCCTGACGACTCCTGGTGCACCGCAACCGTAGCATGAAAAGCGTGGAGATGAAGGACTGAGGGATTTGACTTGAGTGGCAATGACTTCGGGTGCTTGCGTCAGTGTAGGCGATGAAGTATTTCCATCTTCTTCATCCTCACTATTTGGACGTTGGAGTTTCCTACAATCTTGGATTGTGTGGCCCACAAAATGGCAGAACTCACACCGTTTCTTGATATTACGTTGTGGTGGCGGGACCAGTATATCCTTGGTCAAGCTCACATCAGCCATGAGTTCTTCTACTTCCCTTGCGGCGGCCAACAATTCGTCAAAGGAATGTACGGAACCTCTGGGTATCTTTTCCCTGAGTTTGAGGTTTATTTGTCCGAAAATCATATCGAGTTGTTGTTCCTCTGTGTGTTGTGGTGAAGGCAGCTGCGCGAACAACATTCTTTTGTGAGCTACAAATTTTTCAGTTGTGACGTCATCGCGCTGTTTTTCACCGACTATTTCTTGGTACAGGATGTACGCAGGTTTCTTTGGTGCAAATGCATGGCGTAATCGAATCCCGAATTGCTCCCAGGTAGTCACTTGTGTTTTGACTCCTTGCCACCAGATGGCAGCCTCACCCTTGAGTAATAGTGGGACTCCATCAAGAGCTTCCTGGTCTGGGATATTTTCTATCTTCTTGAATATGCTTACTGCCGCTAAAAATGCTTCAACCGTTTCGGGGTTCTTCTCACCTTCATAACTTGCCGTGCATTGAGCGAAGCTTCCTCGGCGGCTCATTGAAAGTTTTGCAAGTAGTGCTTGGAACTGCTCATTCGTTAAGCTTACTGTCATCTTCTTGCTTTGGTTGCTGCTTACTGGATAGGTGGTGACACGGCCGAACTTGGTGATGTATTTGGGCTGGTGCTTGTCAGGCCCACCGTTGGTCGCCAGTTTTGTAGGGTTGAGTTTTTCGGCTGACAAGCGGGGTGAAGGGCTCCAAATAACAACACCGCGTTGATGCAAAAATGGGGTACTTTTATTTCAAAGTACGGGGCAGATACAAAAATGAAGTGCGGGCGTCTCCCGTCCGTAGACCAATTCCCGCAAGGACGTTGGACACAGACGCGGGAGAATCGCTGGCAATTTGTAATTAGGCGTTCGGAAGTCCCAATCTGTGATTCCCCTAAAGAACGTCACAGTCGGATGCAACCTTGGCTTATTACTTACGCCTCACAAAACTTACTTTATTCAACATAATCGTCGGAAGGTCTTTAAGGGAAAAAAAATCTGGACACCGCGGTGTAGAAATCGACTCTCAATGTGCTAGTGGCATCTAGCGGCGAGCGGCGCAAACATTTCCTAGACTGAATAGATCTTGCAATAAGCACGGTGATCCGCGGTGGCTTGGTAATGCAGGCGAACACCACGAGATGGCGCTAGTAGTATTGATTGATAAATGTGACGTTGTTACACCATCCCCCTCAGATCACGAAGTCGTCCCGACGAGAAGATCTGGATTACGTTCTTGTGACGTCCACGGCCTCGTCGGTGAACAACTGGTTCATCTTTCGTCTTCTTAGACCATCTTCTGAAGTTTCGTTTGTTCCATCTTTGATGTTTGCCCAGGGCTTTATGTGAAGATGTCATACAGAACGCAGGTCCAGGTTGTCTGGTAAATTCATAAGAACGTTCGCATCTTGGAGTGTTTTTGCCTGTGATTCTTCGCGATTCCTTGACTGCGGAATGTAGATCACTTAGTACCAAATCTTCATTTTGGTATTCTGGACGACAATGAGACTGTTTGTCAATTGTTTCCATAACAACAGGGGTTTCTTTCCCCTCCCCCTGCTCATGAACTACTCCCAAAACATCTGTATTCATGTAAAGGAGTCTTGTATCTGTCTTTTCTAACACAAAGTTTGCAGTCAATCCATGATTCAGTTTCGTACAAGCAGTCTCCTTGACGATCTTCATGTTGTCAAACATCTCTGGTTTCGGTGTTGTGGCTATACGTATGTCAATGGCATAAAGTCCGATATCTTGATTTTGTGTTTTTGATCTTGTGCATGTTGGACATTTGCTCCTGACGACTCCTGGCGCACCGCAACCGTAGCATGAAAAGCGTGGAGATGAAGGACTGAGGGATTTGACTTGAGTGGCAATGACTTCGGGTGCTTGCGTCAGTGTAGGCGATGAAGTATTTCCATCTTCTTCATCCTCACTATTTGGACGTTGGAGTTTCCTACAATCTTGGATTGTGTGGCCCACAAAATGGCAGAACTCACACCGTTTCTTGATATTACGTTGTGGTGGCGGGACCAGTATATCCTTGGTCAAGCTCACATCAGCCATGAGTTCTTCTACTTCCCTTGCGGCGGCCAACAATTCGTCAAAGGAATGTACGGAACCTCTGGGTATCTTTTCCCTGAGTTTGAGGTTTATTTGTCCGAAAATCATATCGAGTTGTTGTTCCTCTGTGTGTTGTGGTGAAGGCAGCTGCGCGAACAACATTCTTTTGTGAGCTACAAATTTTTCAGTTGTGACGTCATCGCGCTGTTTTTCACCGACTATTTCTTGGTACAGGATGTACGCAGGTTTCTTTGGTGCAAATGCATGGCGTAATCGAATCCCGAATTGCTCCCAGGTAGTCACTTGTGTTTTGACTCCTTGCCACCAGATGGCAGCCTCACCCTTGAGTAATAGTGGGACTCCATCAAGAGCTTCCTNAAGAACGGCTGAACCGATTTAACTGAAAATTGTCAGGGAGGTAGTTTAGAGCCAGGAGAAGGACATAGGGTACTTTTTATCCCGTTCGAAATTAAAAAAAAAGTCTGCTTATTTATTGCCATTAAGGCGGAACAAAGTTCGCCGGGTCAGCTAGTTATTTATATTTTTCTGTATCCAGGTGCGCCTGGTGCAATGCCCGCCGAGCGGCGGCGCGGCGGCGCGTCGGCGGCTCGCGGGACACTCGCGCGCGGCGCACAAGCTGCACGTGTGCGCCGCCGAGCCGCACCTCGTGACGTCGGCCGGCGAGGACGGCATCGTCATGCAGTGCGACGTGCGCGCCGAGCACGTGGCCAGGTGACTGTAGACGCACCACAACCAGGCCTGTTCATCTCCGCGAGTTTAGATCAAAAACAAAACACGCACGATGGCCCACCTACAGAATACTATTCGACAAGGCCTCACATACGAGCGAACATTGACTCACGCACGCGTATTCTTGTGTATGATGGAAGAAAATAAAGAAAATGGTGTACTAAATACTGTGCAGTATTGAGGTAAATAAGTAGTTAATATTATTCATGATAATTCATGCTAAATCATGTATTTCCTCCGCCATTTTCCGCAGTTTGGCACCTCACGTCACATCATTTTACCGAAGTCAGCCCTATAGCTTCGGCGCAGTGCCGATCACTGACGTTTGTCAACAAAATGGTGCTTGACTCTTGAGACAGGCTAAATTACACCATATTGTTAATGACATTGAGCATACATTTTTTTAAATAACTTCGCGAAGTAAAACTTCTGTACGTAGTACTTATTATTATTCTGTGCTACAACATACACTCGCGCGCGGCGCACAAAACTACTAAGTTTTCCAGGTTCTTTCTCACTTGTCCAGGTGACGGTGCCTTCCTTCTAAGGAGATCCACTGCAAGATAAAGCCACATCCGAGGATTTTCTGTCTTGTTACTAATCCCAGATTTGCATTTACGTGCGCGAGCGCGCCACGACTGCCCCCTTATACAGCGTGAGCTAACAGCCGGACAGGACGTCCAAATAGCGTCTCTCGAATTTCGATATTGACCGATATTGACACCGTGTTCTGTTGTCTAATCCAGTGGTTCTCAAAGTTATCTGGGCTACGACTCATCTAATACAAGTTCCCCAATTCGGGACCCAGTTATAGGAAATTTCGCCCGCTGCCCAGCGGTTGTATCAGTAGGGTGGTGTGTCGTTCTACAGGCAGGGCCTACTCAAATTCATTGTTCGCTCACGGTCGCGACCCATAGTTTGGGAAGCCCTGGTCTAATCTCGTTATTAACAGAGTAAATACAAATGAGTAGGTCATCTTCATAGAAACGCACCGAGCGCGCCAATATACGTATGCGGCGCGCACGCACACACAAAATTCGGCGCAACCACGACTAGCTCCCCGTTAATCCCCGCTTGTCAGTGTGTGCGTGCGCGCCGCATACGTGTTGGCGCGCTCACATGCAAACCGCGCCCGTGCGTTTCTATGAAGACGACCTACTCATTTGTATATACTCTGTTATTAATTTCGAGCTTGTATCTCCGCAGGCTCTTCCACGTACGCGAGCGCGGCACGACTGTTCCCTTTGTACAGCGTGAGCTAACAGCTAGAGATAATAGACATGTTGACACCACCAATCAGTTGACGTACTTTTTAAAACTGTCAAAACGAAACTCTCCCATAGATTTTGTATGGCACTACAAGCAAGTGACGTCACTATTTTGTCAACTCAAATAAACTACTTTTTTCAATTACAATGCGACCAAAAATCGTAATTTACAGGTAATTTAAAATTAATTATGTTTTAAGACCAGAATGAAGTGTCTTTTTAGAAAAGTTGTGATTTCGAATTATCGGGGAATGGTGTCAAATTGTCTATTCCTCGAATCCCCAGCCCCGTTAGGCTATTTCGGCTTCTATTATAGTTTCGTTACTAATTACTGACTTGCACCTTCCCAGGCTCTTCCACGTTCGCGAGCGCGGCACGACTGTCCCCTTGTACAGCGTGAGCTAACAGCTAGAGAGAATTCCTCGAATCCCCAGCCCCGTTAGGCTATTTCGGCTTCTATTATAGTTTCGTTACTAATTTCTGACTTGCACCTTCCCAGGCTCTTCCACGTTCGCGAGCGCGGCACGACTGTCCCCTTGTACAGCGTGAGCTAACAGCTAGAGAGAATTAAAGAGAATTTCTCGAATTCCCAACCCCGTTAGGCTGTTTCGGCTTCTATTATATTTTCGTTACTAATTTCTGACTTGCACCTTCCCAGGCTCTTCCACGTACGCGAGCGCGGCACGACTGTCCCCTTGTAAAGCGTGAGCTAACAGCTAGAGAGAATTCCTGGAATCCCCAACCCCGTTAGGCTGTTTCGGCTTCTATTATATTTTCGTTACTAATTTCTGACTTGCACCTTCCCAGGCTCTTCCACGTACGCGAGCGCGGCACGACTGTCCCCTTGTAAAGCGTGAGCTAACAGCTAGAGAGAATTCCTCGAATCCCCAACCCCGTTAGGCTGTTTCGGCTTCTATTATACAAATACAAATATTTTATTATGAAACACATGTTACATTGTCATTACAAATTAGCCTTAGCCATTTAAGTTTTAAAAAACTTGTCCTAGGATAAAGCTGCTCTTCACAATGTTTAAAATTTCTAACATGAGTAGGTAACTAATAATTTTACGTTTAACAATTCCACGAAGCTCAGCAATATGATAAAAACAAAATTTTATAAAAATTTCTATGAAAAAACAAGAAATTAACGCACTTTTGTGGGGTTGAGTTTTTCGGCTGACAAGCGGGGTGAAGGGCTCCAAATAACAACACCGCGTTGATGCAAAAATGGGGTACTTTTATTTCAAAGTACGGGGCAGATACAAAAATGAGGTGCGGGCGTCTCCCGTCCGTTGACCAATTCCCGCAAGGACGTTGGACACAGACGCGGGAGAATCGCTGGCAATTTGTAATTAGGCGTTCGGAAGTCCCAATCTGTGATTCCCCTAAAGAACGTCACAGTCGGATGCAACCTTGGCTTATTACTTACGCCTTTGAGGTTTATTTGTCCGAAAATCATATCGAGTTGTTGTTCCTCTGTGTGTTGTGGTGAAGGCAGCTGCGCGAACAACATTCTTTTGTGAGCTACAAATTTTTCAGTTGTGACGTCATCGCGCTGTTTTTCACCGACTATTTCTTGGTACAGGATGTACGCAGGTTTCTTTGGTGCAAATGCATGGCGTAATCGAATCCCGAATTGCTCCCAGGTAGTCACTTGTGTTTTGACTCCTTGCCACCAGATGGCAGCCTCACCCTTGAGTAATAGTGGGACTCCATCAAGAGCTTCCTGGTCTGGGATATTTTCTATCTTCTTGAATATGCTTACTGCCGCTAAAAATGCTTCAACCGTTTCGGGGTTCTTCTCACCTTCATAACTTGCCGTGCATTGAGCGAAGCTTCCTCGGCGGCTCATTGAAAGTTTTGCAAGTAGTGCTTGGAACTGCTCATTCGTTAAGCTTACTGTCATCTTCTTGCTTTGGTTGCTGCTTACTGGATAGGTGGTGACACGGCCGAACTTGGTGATGTATTTGGGCTGGTGCTTGTCAGGCCCACCGTTGGTCGCCAGTTTTGTGGGGTTGAGTTTTTCGGCTGACAAGCGGGGTGAAGGGCTCCAAATAACAACACCGCGTTGATGCAAAAATGGGGTACTTTTATTTCAAAGTACGGGGCAGATACAAAAATGAGGTGCGGGCGTCTCCCGTCCGTTGACCAATTCCCGCAAGGACGTTGGACACAGACGCGGGAGAATCGCTGGCAATTTGTAATTAGGCGTTCGGAAGTCCCAATCTGTGATTCCCCTAAAGAACGTCACAGTCGGATGCAACCTTGGCTTATTACTTACGCCTCACAAAACTTACTTTATTCAACATAATCGTCGGAAGGTCTTTAAGGGAAAAAAAATCTGGACACCGCGGTGTAGAAATCGACTCTCAATGTGCTAGTGTCATCTAGCGGCGAGCGGCGCAAACATTTCCTAGACTGAATAGATCTTGCAATAAGCACGGTGATCCGCGGTGGCTTGGTAATGCAGGCGAACGCCACGAGATGGCGCTAGTAGTATTGATTGATAAATGTGACGTTGTTACAGCACTGCTTTTAATTAAGACCATAATTCACAAATTAATAGTTTTTCAGTTTCCATATAATCCATCTGTTTCAACCAGTCGTAAATTTTTTTCTTAGCTTCATTACAGGACATGTTGTAGATATGCAGTATTCTATTTATCCGGTTATATAGGATTATCGATCTAGACTGAAATTGGTTCCGTGACAAATTTGTGTGGATGTTTTTTTTTGGAATAACATTGTATGGATTACGTTTTGCATTAATAATAGGATCAGGAGTTGTGTTTTTGTGAGTTTTTAAGACACATAGAAATATGTATAGCTGCCTTATGGTTAGCACGTTACAGTCTTCATAGATTTTTACAGTACTGTAAGTAGGTTTTACTAGTAATAAAACTTTCAAAATGCATCTTTGGGCGCGTTCAAGTTGGTATTATAGTTTCGTTACTAATTTCTGACTTGCACCTTCCCAGGCTCTTCCACGTTCGCGAGCGCGGCACGACTGTCCCGTTATACAGCGTGAGCGGGCACCCGCTGGACGGGCAGCGGCTGGTGGTGGCGGGCCGCGACAAGTTCGTGCGCGTCTACGACCGTCGCCGGTCCACGCGCCCGCTCGCGCTCTACTGCCCCAAGCACTTCCACGAGCAGGTGAGACCGCGTGACGTCACACCGGGCCCGCTGGGCAGCGTGGGCACCCGCTACGGGCAGCGACAAGTTTTTTTTTTTTTTTTGTGTGATAGGAGGCAAACGAGCAGACGGGATCACCTGATGGTAAGCAATTGCCGTCGCCCATGTACACCCGCAACATCAGTGAAGTCACAAGTGCGCTGCCAACCTTTTAAATCCCATTCCCCCCCAATTGGGCCTCCAGTATCCTCACTCACTCGGTAGTGACAGTTGCAAATTGCTGTTTAAGACTCGCGCTTTACTGCCCCAAGCACTTCCACGAGCAGGTGAGACCGCGTGACGTCACGCCGGGCCCGCTGTGCAGCGCGAACCTCCTCGCTTACCGTGGTTTTCAAATGTTAATTTAAGCCGAAAGTATATTGTTTTATTACATAGACTTCGTTCTGGTCACATTCCGTCTAACAAGTTCGCTTACTTAATGAAAAAATCCAGCTCTCCAAACTGTGATAGGTGTTGTGATAAAACGGATGATGTACAGCACTTGTTGACGGAATGTGTCAAGAACCAAAGAGAGCGGCTGTCATTGGTGAGTCAACTAAATCTTAAAACGCTCGATGTAGGAGTATTTCAAAGCATTTTAGCCAACCCTTCATCAGATGCTGCTAAACTTATTTGCGACATGGTTTCCGTGATTCTCCAGTGACAGCTACTCGTTCTTTTTGTTTAGTTATTTTTAATTTTTTGGTTATTTAGTTTACGATTAGGTTATGATGGGACTGACATACTAGGTAAAAGTCCCTAAATTAATAAATAGAAAAAAAAAAAAAAAGTTTTTTTTTTTTTTTATGAGATAGGAGGCAAACGAGCAGACGGATCACCTGATGGTAAGCAATTTCCGTCGCCCATTTACACCCGCAACATCAGTGAAGTCACAGGTGCGCTGCCAACCTTTTAAATCCCATTCCCCCCCAATTGGGCCTCCAGTATCCTCACTCACTCGGTAGTGACAGTTGCAAATTTCAATTGCTGTTTAAGACTCGCGCTCTACTGCCCCAAGCACTTCCACGAGCAGGTGAGACCGCGTGACGTCACACGCGGGCCCGCTGTGCAGCGTGAGCACCCGCTGGACGGTGGTGGTGGCGGTGTATCTTTCTATCTTTCACTTTTTGATCGAATCGAAAATCGAATCCGTCAAAACTCCATACAAAAAAAGGCTTTTCGACAACTTTTCGACTGGTTTGCGATTATAATGTGTACTATGTGTTACCTCCCACAGCCGAGTGCCAAGAAGAAGGTGCGCATGTCGATGATGCACCTGACGTGCGCCGTGTACAACCACGACGGCACTGAGATCCTCGGCTCCTACAACGATGAAGACGTCTACCTATTCGACGCCAAGGCCGACGTCTATGACAAGTGAGTGAAACCGAGTCGAAACGTCGGGAGGGTAAATATAAGTTTACCGTTAATCAAGTGTTTTTTTTTTTTTTTGCAAAATCCCGTGACAGTGATAATTTTAAAGTGAGTGAAACTTGAAGCGGCAATAGCCCAATCCAAGAAACGCGGGTTGTAAACCAGTCGTCGCTAGACTATTGTGCTGAACCCACTCGTTCGTTCGTTCGTTTCAGCCGAAAGACGTCCACTGCTGGACAAAGGGCTCCCCCAAGGATTTCCACCAAGACCGGTCCTGCGCCGCTCGCATCCAGGCGCCTCCCCCGACCTTCACCAGATCGTCGGTCCACCTAGTGGGAGGCCTGCCCACGCTACGTCTTCAGGCTCGTGGTCGCCACTCAAGAACTTTCCTGCCCCAGCGGCCGTCAGCTCTACGAGCTATGTCCCTGCCCACTGCTGCCATTTGTTTACCTTTAAAGTGTTTTGTTGCAATATCCCGCCCGTGACAGTGATAATTTTAAATTTAGGAAAAGTTGAAGCGACATTAGCCCAATCCAAGAAACGCGGGTTGTAAACCAGTCGCCGCTAGACTATTGTGCTGAATCCACTCGTAACATGAGCTTATTAAGTTTGCCACGAGGGATTACCGAGATTCATGTGCTTTTTTTTTTAAAGTGAGTTGCTTACCGAAAGTCGTACGTATAGGTCGCACTGCGACAGTTAAATCGACCACGATGCTCACACAAACGCAATATTTGCACACAGGAACACACAGAATACATTGCACGTTCGTTCAAGTTTAAATAATTGCAACTACCTCGCTCTTGCTATTTAGCAAGTTTATTTAAACGCAGGTTTGCAAGCGAATGAATGCGCTTGAGGTTACATGGGGGTTCTTTTTAGGCGTGTAATAAGTTAAAATATGTATTGCCATTTTACCAAACTTATTTCATATGCCAGTGAATATCTACGACCGTTATCGCTTTTATTTTTTTAATTTACAATTACATTATGTACAGCAGTCAAAATGTTTTGGAATTTCGTATTTCGTCGTTGATGCTCAGCAGCCGTAAACCGACATTCATTGAACGCAGCCAGTTATTGGACAAAACACTCCTTGAATTTTCTTAAAATGAATATGCCTTCAAATGCAAATTGCAACTTAACGCCCTTTTATCTCCATTAATCGGAATCTCTCAGTTGTTGGAATATAAACGTTATTTTTATTCAATAAATAACTGTCCAATAACTCCCTTAAGTGTCCTATGACTGGCAGTTTACCGTACTATAAGATGTTGGGACAGTCCCTAACAACCTGCCGTCCCATTCCAGGGACAGCACGAACGAGATAGACGAGGGCTACACGCACCGCTACAGCGGGCACCGCAACAGCGCCACGTTCAAGGGCGTGGCGTTCTTCGGGCCGAAGAGCGAGTACGTCGTCTCAGGCTCCGACTGCTCCTACATCTACATCTGGGAGCGCGAGAGCGAGGCCATCGTGCAGTGGATGCAGGGAGACATACACGGAGTTGTGAGTACCCACAGAGATATTGATTGCTTCACAATTATAATATTTCTTATTAAATTTCCGTGCAGACGCCAAACAAAAACCATCTGTCAAATCTAACTTTAAAAAAAACCATAGTGTGTCATTTTACTCACGTGCCAGGGTTTTTACGCTCCGCCCCGGGTGCCAAGCATCAGAGGGTGACACAAGTCGCGCAGATTAGTATGTACTCACTGGCGCATCTGCATGGCAAGTTTGCGGTCTATGTCATGATACGGGGGGGGTGCGATTGTCTTTCAATCTTCGAATCGTAGGGTGTACTAGGGGGTGCCTTAGGACTTATGGGGGGGGGGGGGTGATCGGGGCGATGCCATGCTACGCCGCCACTGATAGACTGACAGCTACACACATCTCTCGTCACCGCACCTCTCCGCTCTTCTGAAGATTATTTACATCTCTCCGAGCCTAAGCATCGTAATGGTAAACATTCGTGTGATCAAATGATGCGATTGTATCACGCGAAGTGATTAAACATTGCATTCTGTCACTTTGGCAACTTCATTGTTATCCAACATTCTGTGCATGTCGTGGCAATCTTTAATTAAGGCAACACCTTAGCTTAATTTATTTTTAAGGAAACTGTGAATGTATGGTGTATATTTTGTTGGTTGTCCTTAAATAAATAAATAAATAAACATTGAATCTCGCAATAATAAATTTTACCCACCAGTCATGGCTGGCTCTAACACAAATTGGGAGAGATGACTGAAATGATAATGCAATATGAAACTATGTATTTGAAGAGTGATTGGTGTTTAACCTGGGCCCTTCCCAAACCAGAATCAAGAAGTTGTCGGCCGTTTGGTGAAGTGGTTCGAAACGGACTACTATTCCGGAGGTAGCGGGTTCGATTCCCGCACAGTACAAACATTTGTTGTATTGGACTGGGTGTTTTCTAATTAAGTATGTATTTACAAAAAAAAGTATTAATAGCCTGACCAGGAACATAAAAACCCTCGCCATGTTGCGGAAAACTAATGGTACTAATTTCTTTTAATGGCAACAGTAACTGAAAACTTCATTGACATGTCACCTTGCATGTCAGTCTATTGTTGTCAAAGTGTAAACAAACTTTATTTTAAATGTTTGCAATTGATTTTGTGAATTAAATTGCTAAAATGTTTTTATAATCGTGAAAGAAAAGTGGTTCACGATGTGTTAATGTATTTGTCGAAGAGCAATACTAAGGGTTCGGACAATATTTTCATTGAATAATGTTTCCGACAAAGGTTGTCAAATTGACTGACATGTTTATCGTATAGTACAGTCCACTATGAAAATTAGCTGTAGTCTGTTTCAACTACCTATTTTAAAGTTTTTTGTCACTTTCTAAGTTTTGAATTTTATGGAATTGGGAAAGAAGTACCGAGTTTGAAGCGTTCATGAGCAGACATTGCAGTTGAATATTCAAGTTCTGAATTTGATTATTGATGAATAATAAAATAAATCCTACTAGCTCGATTGATGGTTTCATTTAATTTATTTAAACCAGGTTACCTTTAGTAATATTTTTCGTTAATTTATGAAAATATCAAATTAGCCCGTAATCCTGAATCCTGATACATAAATTTAGCCTATTAATTTAACACATGTACGACTGTACTCAGTGTTGCACTATCAAATGCAATTGAAGCGCCTCTATGCCAGGGTTTTTATGTTCCTGGTCAGGCTATAAGTATGTTTATATCCGTTGTCTAGTACCCATAGTACAAGCTTTGCTTAGTTTGGGACTAGAAGCGCAGTGTAAAATGTCAAAGGATATTTATTTATTATTATTATTTATTATTATAAGATCAATGCAAAATCATTGAAAATATGCAAATGACTCAATTTCATGCTCGTATTACAATTTTATTCCAGGTGAACTGCATAGAGGCCCACCCTAGATTCCCAGTGCTAGCTACGAGTGGGTTAGACAAAGACGTCAAGATATGGATCCCGAAGAGCGACAGTGATCCTACCTACAGTGGAATTGAGAGGGTAAGTGCTTTTCCTTATAGTGATGAGAACTATACCAGGCCTGTTCATCTCCGCGAGTTTACATCGAAAACAAAATACGCACGATGGCCCACCTACAGGATACTATCCCACAAGGCCTCACATACGAGCGAACATTGACTCACGCACGCGTATTCTTGTGTATGATGGAAGAAAATGGTGTACTAAATACTGTGTAGTATTTAACTGCCTAAATAATAATAAACACACAGAATGTACTTTTTTAAGTTGCCTCAAGACACTGAGAGGTAAATAAGTAGTTAATATTATTCAAGATAATTCATGCTAAATCATGNGTTACCTTTAGTAATATTTTTCGTTAATTTATGAAAATATCAAATTAGCCCGTAATCCTGAATCCTGATACATAAATTTAGCCTATTAATTTAACACATGTACGACTGTACTCAGTGTTGCACTATCAAATGCAATTGAAGCGCCTCTATGCCAGGGTTTTTATGTTCCTGGTCAGGCTATAAGTATGTTTATATCCGTTGTCTAGTACCCATAGTACAAGCTTTGCTTAGTTTGGGACTAGAAGCGCAGTGTAAAATGTCAAAGGATATTTATTTATTATTATTATTTATTATTATAAGATCAATGCAAAATCATTGAAAATATGCAAATGACTCAATTTCATGCTCGTATTACAATTTTATTCCAGGTGAACTGCATAGAGGCCCACCCTAGATTCCCAGTGCTAGCTACGAGTGGGTTAGACAAAGACGTCAAGATATGGATCCCGAAGAGCGACAGTGATCCTACCTACAGTGGAATTGAGAGGGTAAGTGCTTTTCCTTATAGTGATGAGAACTATACCAGGCCTGTTCATCTCCGCGAGTTTACATCGAAAACAAAATACGCACGATGGCCCACCTACAGGATACTATCCCACAAGGCCTCACATACGAGCGAACATTGACTCACGCACGCGTATTCTTGTGTATGATGGAAGAAAATGGTGTACTAAATACTGTGTAGTATTTAACTGCCTAAATAATAATAAACACACAGAATGTACTTTTTTAAGTTGCCTCAAGACACTGAGAGGTAAATAAGTAGTTAATATTATTCAAGATAATTCATGCTAAATCATGTATTTCCTCCGCCATTTTCCGCAGTTTGGCACCTCACGTCACATCATTTTACCGAAGTCAGCCCTATAGCTTCGGCGCAGTGCCGATCACTGACGTTTGTCAACAAAATGGTGCTTGACTCTTGAGACAGGCTAAATTACACCATATTGTTTATGACATTGAGCATACATTTTTTTAAATACCTTCGCGAAGTAAAACTTCTGTACGTACGTACTTATTATTATTCTGTGACTATACTAACACTGTACCATCCCTATATTGTTGACATTCCACCAGCTCGCACTAAGCGTTTCGATGACTCTTTTATAATGCGAACGGCTAGGGACTGGAATTGTTGCCTGCTGCTGTCTTTCCCGAAGACTATAATCCGGGCCTTTTCAAGGCGAGAGTGAATAAGCACTTATAGGGCAGATATGTACCATCCTAGACTGCATCCCACTTAACATCAGGTGCGATTGTGGTCAAATACCTGCCATGTTTTGCACAAAAAAACCTACTTTAAAAAATCCACCAGTCATCCTTCGGGCCAACGAGATCTGAAAGTGCGGTGCAGGTTAAAATCTATAAGCGAAGTACCACTCACAGATTAATCATGAAATCTCAGAAATTATAACACATACAAACTTGAAATTTGGCGGGTAGGTTCTTTATAGGATGTAGACATCCACTAGGAACGGATTAATTTTCATTAAACAGTTTTAATTTGTAAGTATGGTCACCCTAGTATTACGATGCGGCTAAACGTGGGCCGCCGTATTGAATAACGTATCGCAATGACAATCCGGGTAACTGTTGAACCGTTTTACAAAACCGTTGTAATGGAAAATGCCTAGCTATAATGTAAAGCGGCGAATTATACAATCCGACTGCGACATGCACTCATGGATAATTTTGCGTGTACCGATAACACTAAACATTAGCGGAAATTGGTAGAGCGCTTCTTCGTGGATGAAAATCCGCGCTCCATGATGCATGAAACACGATGTATGAATGCATGAAGACTTATTGAATATTGGCAGGTGGTGAGAGAAAACAGCGCGTCGCAGCACCGCAGTCCCCTGTTCAACGACTTCCTGCCGAGCCTGTACAGCGCGTGGCGCGGCGCCGAGGCGCACCTGTTCACCGACAACTCGCCCGCGCCCTACGGCAACATCGAGTTCGACGGCAACGCCTGCGTCGCCTTCTGACCGCGCCCGCCGACCACGCCCGCGGGCCGCGTCGTCCGACACGCTTCGTGCGTCAGAACTACGTTTCTAGGAAGCGCGCCACGAGAAACTTTTATCGATGCATTTTGTTTTTACACGACAAAAATCGTCGAAAAGATTTTATCGTGGCGCGCATCCGAGCCCGTTTGGTCCACAGAAAAAGATAACCGCACCAAAATTTTTCATTTGTTTTTTATAATTTTAGTTGGGTTTTAGTTAACTTCTGAATTATGCTAAAGTCCGGTCGCCGAGCACGTAGAATTTCGTCCAATGACCCCAAGCTACCCATCCTTATCGCTCGCGCGTAATTATATTGCTGTCGCGACTGTGCGACGGGCGGCCGCAGTGAGTGTGCGAGACGACCAATCGCAAGACTTGTTGACGTGTAAACGTCGGACAGAAAACAGGTTATAGGTACACTGCGCCCATCACATATTACGTTCATGAAAAATATGGGTTCTTTCTTATACAACACGTCAAAGCACCGTACAATACTGACGAAACTGACGCGGCGATGACCAGTGTAGGTAGACTATACAAAGTAACATTCATAACAGTTTCAATTTCGTTATTTGCTTCACTACGTTATTTTTCTTGAACCGAACTACTATCTTGAAGCGATCGTGAATTTGAATCATTCTAAGAACTGACGACAGATGGCAGGACTTAGGTGCTCATGACTGACTAACTTTTCTTACAAAACATATTTTGTAAAGTTTACACTGCCCAATAAAAAATAATTTCGTTGTTCCAAATAAAAATGTTTGGTTCCAAGATTGTAACCCCACCGCCATAACCATAGTCAGTCGCAGGTCATTGACCTTCCATACGTCGCGTCGCGCTTATCGCTCACCTTAGACATAGCAGCACCAACATTATAACATTGAAATTTGTAACACCGTAAACAAAGAAGCCAGTCTGTAAGGTCATTGACCCGCAAACTAAAGGTTCAATAAACTACACTGTCGTCCAAAGGAAAAGTGTCGTGTTGAAAAAAGAAATTGAGCTCTTGTCACCATTTATTCAGCAACTGACTGTATTGTAACACTATCAGCTCTCTATTCTATTTATTGAAATGGTACTAAGCTTTTTTTTTTTAATTTCAAATGTAATATACATTTAACACCGCGCGTCTCTTTTCCTTAGGACCGCAGATAAAATCATAACTACAATTACCGTTTTATGAAAGAATCTAGCATTTTTTTACTATGTGATGTCTAGAGTATGCGTTTTTAGAATTTGCTAATATACAGAAAAAGGGACCAGGCGGCGGCGCTATGTAACAACCCTTTATAATGGACAATTTGACACCATTCTCCAATAATTCGAAATTACAACTTCTCTATTCCTAAATTCTTTAGAAATTTCCATCGATGTAAACAAACACTTATGCACACAATTACACTATAATTACTCACGTTTTCTTAATATCATACACATTATTTCACAAGCTCATGAAACCAACTTTATTCTCATGACGAAACAAATATGAAATCTAACATTGAAATCCAAATATTTTAACAAAATATTTGGATGGTGAAAATTTTTGCTACATGTTAAAATGTCAAATCGACATTTGACGTTTAAATTTAGGTCCTATCTCTGGAAAATGTGTAAGTCATAGACAATATTCATAGATAATAATCTGTAAATTGAATCGATTTTATTTCAAGTATTCAATTATTTCAATTACCAATTACTTTGATAATATTAATTTAAAATAAAATATAGGTAAATGAGGTTATATTCAACAATGTATTTTTTCTTCATTGAATGCAACAACACACTTACTAGACAAAACGCACTTTTTCATCGAATCGAAAATAGAATCCGTCAAAACTCCATACAAAAAAGGGGCTTTTCGACCACTTTTCGACTGGTTTGCGATTATAATTTGCACTTTGTCTAGACGCACAGCTTTATTATACAGACGAGTGTCACATAAAAAGGCCTTTCGACCACTTTTCAACTGGTTTACGATTTTATTGTGCACTTTGTCTAGACCCACAGTATAATTTAAATTTATTTCCTAAACAAATAAAAAAGGGAAAATTAAATTTTCTTCGATTAAGAAGATCCTATTTTGACGATCACATTACTAATCTCAACATCAATCAGAAGAGGGATTGATCTTAATAATTATACAAACGATCTTTGAAAATCTAATAATCGTCTGTTGCAGTCCGTAAATGACATTTACAGAATTGCGATTAACGAGAGATTTTGTCGCATCACTAGTAGATCAACCGACATAGACTAAAAATTCGTCAATGTCAGTTGGCCATATTTGTTTACATTTAGGGAAATTTCTATAGAACTAAGGTATAAAAAGACACTTCATTATGGTCTTAAAAACTTAATTAATTTTAAATTACCTGTAAATTACGATTTTTGGTCGCATTGTAAATTGAAAAAAGTAGTTTATTTGAGTTGACAAAATAGTGACGTCACTTGCTTGTAGCGCCATACAAAATCTATGGGAGAGATTCGTTTTGACAGTTTTAAAAAGTACGTCAATTGATTGGTGGTGTCAACATGTCTATTATGTACTTCAAAGAACAAAAATAGTAAGACACGGGTCTTAACGCGACGTTTATTAATGAGTTACATTATACCTCAAAGAACACGTAAGCGGTCAATCCCGGGGCGTACGTTTATAGAGTATTGGACTCAATTTTCTGTGGCTACTTTTGTATTGATCTTTGATTGACTGTAATGACAAGATTTCGTCATGTTTCTAACGTAAAGTACAGCACTGAATTCCTTGAATTTTTTAATTTAAAGTTGTCACCCATATTGAGTTTGATAGTCGTTACAAAAATGTAATTAGAGTTAATCTATTAATGGGTATTGGCAAATTAATGTAAATTAACGTCACTGTCGTTTGTTAAGAATGTTAATGGTTAGAATTTTATGATGAAACTTTAATTGATGTTGTTAATGTTTCGTGATGGCAGTCTAGTTGTTCGTGCTTCACATCGCAAAAGCACAACCTAGTTCGAATCCCGCAAGGGGCAAATTTATGTGATAATTACCAGAAACATTTCTGGGTTTACCCTCTACACGACTTTGTACGAGCTCTAAGGCACGATAGAACGATGTTCAAAACTCGATTTTAATAAGTTCAAACCAGCAATCAATTGAATTTTAAATGTTTAGGCCAATTAGGCAAACAAAACAGGCTTAAGTCTACTTTTGAGTGTATTCATATTTGAGTTTAGTTTCATTATGCTAGAGAATATTGCCACTATTGTTGGAATTATGTACAGTGCTGTATTTTTACTTTGTTATGCCGCTATTTTAGATATATAGAAGTATAATTGCACGTGTATTTTGTAATAGATATTAATATTTATGGTAACATTACATTTATGTAAAATAACGTCGTTTTGTTCTCGTGTTGGTATTAGTGGGAAGAATTTAAATAACCATAAAACGTTAGTATCTCTAGCGATTTACGAATTATCTGGTGTAATCGTTAGTTGATTTGTTATGAGAGTAATATAGCAAAAAAAAACCTTCGCAAGCCTGTGATATATAAATCTGAAAGATATTTCGAACTAACATTTGTGAATGTGATTAAATTATTATTTCTTAACATTAACCTTTTAGTTTTCGGGGCAATCAAAATTAGTATTTTTGGTAACTAGCAACCTATTTACTATAGTTAAAAGTAGTGCATTCTGTTTTAGTATATGTAAGTATATTGCTTTATGTTTGATTATCATTTTATTATATTAAATTGTTGTTTCAATAAAGATTTTTGCTGTAAAATATATTTATGTATACATATTATAAATAAATAGTTGGATTGTGTTCATTCGCCCTGTATAAATTTGCAATACACACTTGTTCTGCGGATGCCATTGTTATTTAATAGTTGAAAAATACAGGGTTCAATGATTTTGTTTTTTAGAATATAATCGTAACATCTAACCAGACTTCTTTATTATAACTTATTTAATCAAGACGAGTAAACAAGTCCTTCCTTAGGAAAATGTATTATTTTTTACTTTGCATAATTTTTTTTAGTTCCTCAAATAAAACCAGCCGAAACATGGAAAGTAAAAGCAATATTAAAAATAGTATTGAAAAAAATAATAAATTGTTGCAAACAAACTTTATGAATGGTTAAGAAAATAAAACAAATGAAGAGTTTGACACAATAAGTCAATTGAACGCCTAAAAAACAATACAAAACGGATTTTAATTCAAACAATTTGCATCGAAGACTATTTTCCCATACTAACACTGAAGGAAAGTATGGTAAGACAAAAAAAAAGCAAAATACACAATATTTTGATTTGGACTTATTCCTCCAGTGCTTCAAAACCTTCTGCAGAGAAAAGTGAAAAGAACTATTTGTTAAGGATTTCTTTTATAGGTACGGAACTCCAAAAAAATCATTAATAATAGGCTAGATGACAAAATTTCAATTATTTGTCCGTCAGACAGATAATTCGAAAATATTAGACTAATAAAATATTTTTTATTTTCTTTCATAATTAAATAATAACAGTGCTACATCGAGTTGAAATGGCGCGTTACGTCACGCTTGAGTAGATTTCTTACCCAAAAGTGACGTCACGCGACATTTGAACTCAATATAGGGTCATTCCATGACAAATGTTACCGAGGGTGAAAAACTAAATATGTTCTTATCGCATTAAATCTGATGAATTTTGAAAGTACACATTCCAAATTATAATGTGCAGCAAAAAAAAATCTGAAGGAAACATGTAGTTTTTAAGTTATTAGTCTTCAAAGTCTATACTCAAGTCAACTGTCTGAATGATCATTTTCTCTCTAATTACTGGTAATACGATTTTAAAAAAGCTATCAATCTGTTAACCGTTTTGCCACTATATGATTTGAGGGTATTTATCATAGTATTGGTAGATAGCATCATAGTCCCAAAAAAAATGGATAATCATTAAGTTTTAAGTGTGTTTTCTTGTTACTTCGGCGATGTAACACCCGAAACAGAAAAACAGGTATTTGTTTTATTATTGTACCTTACACATGGATTAGGGTAACAATATTTGGTAAAAGTAAGGTCATGGTAGTAATGATTTCAAATAGTAACTAATATCTGAGCATGATACTAATTAAGTATGTTTCTTTCTTGATTAAAAACTGTAACACCCGAAACGTTTCGGGTATTACATTTTTATTTATATGTCCATAATGTGTGTATATTGCTTGGAGAAGTGAAAAAGTATTACTGTGAGGGTCCTTTGACCTCCCACTAGCGATGTCATCGGAAAAGGAGTCATATTTCTCAATTTAAGACTTTTTTGAAATGTCGACTTAACACTAAAATTAAGGTATTGCTAAAAAGTGTAGATGTTTGACATTTTTAATAAATATCGTAATTAGAAATTAAAGTAATGCTATTTCAAGCCAAAAACAATAGAAAAAGCTATATTCTGAGGAAAAATCAAACTTAAACTTTGTATATTTTTTAAAAAAAGCTGCTTCGTAATTTCAAACCAGAATTCGCTCTATTTGTGTTTATTTGTTGTACTCCTTATTTTGTAGTACCTAGAGACTAATAAAACACCGATTTTATCGATAAAACGAGTTGAATTTTCGTACTCGTAACACCCGAAACAGAACCATTGTAACACCCGAAACAAAGAAAAAATTTATAAAAAAATAGTAAAACGTTTTATTTAACAGTGATTGTATGTTACATGGTTTGTAAATGTCATACTTTAGAAGTCCTGTAAGTTTTAGGTATGCTTCCTTAAGAAAATTCGCTAAATTTCGAGTAAATGCAGCAACAGTCAGAACATAGAGGCAAAATCTCGTAACGCCCGAAACGCACACTTTTCGACTCATATTTTCGTTATCCTACATTCTAAGCTGTACAAACTTTATTATTAAGATAAAACAACTAAAAACGGACAGATTAAGGCACTAACATTATTAAAATACTATTTCAAAATACATGAAATTGTTGAATATGTGTGTACGAACGTAACACCCGAAACGATGGAATGACCCTATAGGTAATACTGTAATTATTCGATAATGAAAATAAATAAAAAATATGTCTCCAAAATTTTTTTATTATCTGACGGACAAAATATAATTTCGATTTCATTACCCAGTCATCATCCTTATTGTATAGGACATTGACAAGTTTTAAAGGTGCTACCATGTTCTGATAAGCAATAGAAATAAACACACCGAGTTTTTTGTGTGATATCGCGCCCGTTACATCGATTTTAATTCACACTAATAATTTAGTCAATCGTAATTGTTTAAAGTATAATTAATTACCTATTTACACCAATTTTGTTTTTCAAGAAAACAATCTCAAATGCATAATGGTTCTATTTTCATACTAATAAATAAATTTAATACTTATAATAAAAATACACGTATGTACCTACTTAACGTGCAACGCAAACGCATTAGGTTTTTTTAATTAAATATAATAAACCAATTTTTTAGTTTTTTGATGTGATACATTTTAAAGATGCTTAACTTTTCTTAACGGCGATGTCGTGAATTAGAATTGATTATTTTTAACACACGTCACTCACGAGAGTCACGAGGTGTAATAAATAATAATACAAGATCCAAACATTTCCAAGTTATTAAAATCCTTAGTTTTCAAAAAAGGCAGATTTTTAGAGACAGCATTTTTGTAAATTATTTAATGTTCAAACTTTGACGAAATTCTTCAACTTGGAACTTAATATACTACATACATAACTTACTGATTGTTGTAAACTTTTATTTATTATTTTTATCATTACTCAAGAGGTGCGATGAGTTGGTTTAGCAAAAGATGTAACGTTAGTCCCAATTATGTAAATAAATGATAATTTTAAATATTAAACTTCTTTCATTTTATGTAATAGAAAATGTATATTCGATTCTACTCTTAAAAATAATATAAGAATGCTATTTAATCATAATTAATACGACAAGAATTTTCTCTGAATATTTTATGATCTCTTGACCTAATTGGGTAATATTTTTGTTGTTTACACGTAAACGATGCTATAACTTTTTGTTTCCCGCCTTTTTACGACAAATTGACAGTGCAATAGCCCAGCGCCACTCAGTGTTACTATTTGGAACTACACGTATGCCGCCGTGACCAAACATTTGAAGTTTGTGTTAATAATAAGTCCAAAATTAGCAAAATAGGGCTGCTAATACAATTTGAGTTGGTTTTAAAACCACATGAGCTCAGAATTTCAAGTCCAAAACATATCATAATGAAAATAAACTAAATCGTTTTTACCCACATGCTCGCCTTAGCTTGTTAATGGACGACGCGCTTGGCCAATCAGAAGCGAGGCGTGTAGAAGCCCGCGCCATCTTCGTTTTCAAACTCATCTCGCCGCACACTCGCTCCGTCAGTCGCGCGTCGGATCCGGACAATCAAACAACTTGACTATTTTTAGTAATTAACACATCAAATTCAGAACAATCATGAGCACCAATGAAAAAAACAGTGAAGTGGCCGTAGACAAGGTCGGCGAAGAGAAGTCGGACGCGAAAAGTGATCTGAAAGGAGCGAAAAGGGCAGCTGAGGTGAGTGCACATGTCAAACAAATGTATTCGTTTAATCGCTCGCCATTTTATTGAACGCTGTAGTAGACGCTCTAGTACGTTAATTTCCCTATGTCTAAAAGATCCGTAGAGTCATCCACGTGGTGTATTAATTATTGACGCTTCACTGGCAAGTCTTAACGCCACCGAACCGGCATATTTTTGGATGTCATTTCTGACGAGTTAAGCATTTTAGAGTGTGAGGTAATCGATGAGTCAATGCCATGATGTCCTATGGTGTTGTGTTCAATAAATTCGCGCGATATTAACGTATCACGAGTATCATTACAGTCTTGTAGCTTTGTTTACCCGTTTTCGATACTAAGGCATGACCTTGGCAGAAAAAAAAAACATGGCGCGAGAACGTACGCTGCCTCCGAGAATGCTGTTATAAAAGATCGACATGTTGTTGCTTCTAAAGTCTTGATACCTTACAACGTTGACCTTATAGCACACGGTCGGTAGCTTTACACTTTCCCAGGTGTATTGTTCATGATAGCGTGACGCTATCTAGACGGACGGGTAATATGGCCGGCAAATGTCAGTACTTAGTAGGCACCGGATTGTCAGTCACCGCGAAAATGTTAGCTTTATCTCATAGATTGTTCAATGTAACTACATAATAAAGCAACGAAAATCACGTGTGCCATGATTTTACCACTATGTTAGCGTTCATTGCACAATTGTTATTTTATTTCTGTCATGTATACTGAAAACTAGTCAATGACCCGGCATTATTTGCATGCATGTAGGTGTTTTGTATGTAATATACGCTTCCTTTGTTCCACAAGTAGGCAGCTAGCCACTTGGTAATATGCACGTCGTTTCTCGGTGATAACGAATTGAGCGGGAAATCCTGAAAACTACAGAATTTCGTTGACTGTGGGAATATATTATCTACTATCTCGCTCGCTCTTTCTAACCTGCATACCAAGCTCGAGGACGCATGGCGTTAGCTGTAATTCATTAAATAAAGTGGGAACGCTCTATAATCGTTACGTTCATGTTAAAACAACAAATAGAAATTAAATTATGTGTCTGGTATTATTATTTTATATGACTTTTGTAGGTTTTTTTGTTGGCTCCCCGCCTTTACGGCTTCTCAATTTGAGCGCGTATATGCGCGGTGACCGCGATTGACTTTGCCTCGGGAAAATAGGCCGTATGGCGCCGGCCCGCGTTGTTCGGCGCTCTTTCCCCCACACAACTAATGACCCACGCTTCTTTATCGTTACGAATCTTTGTCACCTGCGCCTCATTATATCTCGCGTAACTAAAGCGCATTTCTCGAAAATTATCTGTTAGGTTAGATTGGAAATCGATTGGCTAATAGCCAGTATTATTATTTGCATGATCTTGAATGTCAAGGTGCACTGTCACAAGGCGTACGTAAACAAGTGTGCAACTTTTTCTCAGGATGCAACTAAGTCTTGTGTCTTTCATATTATAGGAGAAACAAACCGAGGCGAAAAAGGCGCGAAAGGAGGAGAATGGAGGCGGTGGAGATGATGAACCTCACAGTGAAGAGGAAGATCTAGAAGGAGAGGGCGAAGGCGACGACGACGACGACGAAGAGGTCGAGGGGGAAGAGGGCGAAGAAGACGAGGAAGTATTAGAAGAGGGAGAGGACGACGATCTCGAAGGTAACGGTCAGTAGATACATATTATGCATCAACAGCTTGATAAATTGCATTGCTTAAAGTAGATACATGACTCGTTCATGCAATTATGCACTATCTAAAAGCCGGCAACTTAAAGGTCGCGACAACTCAATATAACTGCTTCACGTCGGCTAGTAATTCCATCGTTACAGTCATATGGGTTGCACACGCAAAAAATGTTGATACCATAAATAGGTCAAAATCTACCCAATATTGCAAAATTGAGATATTGCCCATGTCGTATATTGTAATCTATAAACAACCAGGTTACCTTTTGATTACCTATCTCTGTTTGATAAAGCTGTTGACAAACTTAAATCTTGTCAAAAAAATTGCCGTGAGAAAAAACGGTTTCTCCAATTTACAAGTTCTGGCGCGTGCATAACTTGCTTGAATTGTCTTCTCGAAAAGTCGTATTTCTAAAGATGGGTGTTTGTTTGTTACAGATGAGGAAGTGGAAGAAGAGTTATTAGACGAAGAAGAAGAGGATGACGCGTAATACGGCTAGTGCCTCTATAAGGACAATGTCACAGTGATGTGTTAGTGGTCTGCGTGACGCCCGCCGCGCGGCCCCGCCTCGCCCCAACTGCCGAGCGAGCCCGAGTCACCGCTCAACAGTTGAGAACACGCGGGGCCGGCGTCGCTCCCACCTCAAACGGGTGCACTTTTATTTAAATGACAAATGTAATTAATTAAGTCGAATCCAATGCAGATTTTCAATTTTTACAGTGTTTAAGTTGATTGATACCGAAGCTGTATCTTTACTTTTCTAGGCTCGTCGATTCGAGTGTATAATTAATTAAGAATTAGCAGAATGTTGAATTTTGTCATGAAATGTACAAATGTGTTTTCGAAAGTAAACTTTATTCTAAGTGAAACCCACTCTGTATTTAGGTTTACCTGTGAGCCCGTCAAATGGTGAAGTTGTGATATTTTTCTACAATAGAATATCCAATTGTTATAATAAAATATAATATACATACTAGAAATAGACTCGTACGGCAGTAATAATACATTCTTATACAGAGTGTCCCTTATAAGTTAGCGTTAAGCGTAAGTCCAAAATGGAACTCTTCAGGAGTACGCGAATGTGTATTCCGCGAATTTTGTAGTTTTTGAGTTATTTTTCGTTTTTTTTTCCAAATCTTGAATATTTTTCGGAAAAGGACGCCTATCGTAATGATGTCTAATGAATTTTCCAAGTCAAGATTTGATAATAATTCTAAAATTACAGAAACAAACCTCCATGGGAATGATTCGGTTATCCCTTAGGGGTTCTAAGGACTTTGCTTGACACAGTTTTACTGGACAACCTGTAGCAAATAAGCAATTAAGTCACAACGCTCAATTCTTCATTTTTTTTGTTGTTGATGAGAGTTTGTGTGTACATATTTAGCGTAAGTGAAGCCTGTGATTTTATAATCGGTCATGTAACATAGTGTGATTGTTGCACTCAGGTTGAAATCTTTATTTTCCGCTAAACCTAGCTTGTCATGTTTCAGTTTCATAAACACTCCTTCGTACTGCTCGAATCCACCATGAACCGAAAGTAGATAATGAATTTTAATAATTATTATATTAGTGGTAGTGTGTGGGTTGAGATTGACGCTCGTTCACGGGGTATTCGGGTTGGTACGGGGCGGCCGAATCCTTTGGCCAGTAACTGCCTCCGCTGACGAGACGAGTTGCCGTATTTCACTTGACAGTTTATTAGAAAAACATCACAATTTTACCATTATCTCGCGTACATCGCACGCCGGCCACCGGCTCTCCGAACGACTGATAAAGAGAGCGCGACGGTCGCCGTGCCGCGATAGTGAACATTATAAAACCGGCCTGTAATTTTTGTCCATAATTGTTAATTAGGATTAGAACCTTCAGTTCGGTATTCCAGTGTTTCACGGTGTGGAATAAGAGATTCCTAGGTTAAAGTTTAGTGTTTAGGAAGTAACGTCATTTTGTATGAAAGGACGCTAAGGGAGCTGTGGCGTGGGGCGGGTGAGGCGGGGGGCGACTCCCCCGCCGCCGCTCGCGTGGCCTCGTTCGATTTGCCGCGCGGCGTGGGTCCCCGCGCCCCGGCCCGCGTCTGCCGCGCCCGCCGCCTGCCCCGTACCACGGCATGCCAACGCGTTCCCCGAGCGTGGAAAATCACCCGTCGCGCGATTTACACCGCTGTCTCACCGCCTATGTCGACCGAACCAGCGATGGAACCGCGCGCGGCGAACGCGCGTCCTTACAACTAGACGCCGTTATTATTACGAGTGTTTTGATACTTCTTGTTGATCAGTTTTCACTCCGTTCAGTCTTTCGCGGGGAGGCGCGATGTTACGACCGCTTCGGAATACATTTATTTACTGACGTTACGTAACTCGTGGCCCCGGCTGAGACGTTTATGAAATGCATTTAGCGGATATTCCATCGGCGATTGAATACCAAAGGGAGCAAACTTATTTTTGATTAGAGAAACTATCATTGAGATCAATAAAAAAATAACCTCACGAGTAAATCCTATTGTCCCGCCTTTTCATTCATTTTGTGGTAAGAATGAGCTGTCGCATATTGTGTACGATGTACGACTATGTGAATACCTTAGTACGATTTTATTTATTTGTGATGTTGAACACTATTGATTTTCTACAATGGACGAAATGTAAATACAACCGATTTTAAGTAAAACGTTATTTTGTTTTTGAAGCTTATTTATTTGTCCCACTAGTATCTCCACACCAATGAGATAGGTAGGTAAATATTATTTAGAGTTAGCCATATAAAAATAAATATGGTGCGACGGCCGACAATCACAAATGCTTTGACGCATAATTATGATACGGCGTCGTTCATAATATTGTGTATAAAGAAACTACGAATTGTTCTTCAGGCCCGAGGGGTTCAAAAGTACCCTTCCCTCTTCATCCCCTGTCCTGGTGTCAGATGTGCAGAAGGGGGATATTGAAACCGAATTCATTGAAGCAGACTCCCACTTCCGCCCTTATTATTCCAAGTCGTTACGTTACTCGATTTCTATAGTTGGAGTGAGGCTTTCTAGAACATTCCTTATCTTGCGATTCCTATCTAGAATTTTCGATCTGTTTATTATTACCCATCTTCTAACAGCCTACTTTCTTCTTATAATTATTCCCTTTATTAATCTAAAATTATTCCGTCTTTAACTCGTACGCCTTTAAATTATGTTTGAAGCTTTTTATAAAATCTACTTAGCACTATCTCGACGATCACTGAAATGTCTGGAATGATGTGTTTTTGCAAAAGACTAGTCGGAGTTTTGAGAGACCCCATGTCATTTCCATTTTGAATGAGCAAAAATATTGAAGCGATAATACCTAACAGTTATAATCTAGGTGGGTCCCAAAGGTATACATTTTCAAGGTTGAAGGGAAACCGGCTTATCAATATTTCATAGAAAATCTAACGGTAAAAAAACGACAAAGGTGTGAATGCGCCTTTATTGATACACGTGAATAACACAGTAGCGACATCTAGTTCATGGTATTATTCAACAAAATCTAGAACTGAGTAGGTATGTAGATGGAGCCTCTATCGTTTAGTATACTCAAATCTCGCTAGATGGCGTTCTTGTTGTTTTACGCGCCAATTTTAAATACTACGTACCTAAAGTCCTGTATTCCAGGAATTTCAAAATAATATGTTTTGTAGGTTCCGCAACAAATGTCAGTGGCTGAGAATGATTTCGACCTATTTGTAAAAAACACTGAAATTATGTATTAACCGAAGTTATTGTAGGTACAAAAGCAAGAGATGTGGATTGATTTAAATTTTTTCAATCGGCGCTTTTTAGGTACATACCTGCTCCTCTAAACCTATAATAAGTAGGTACATAGTTTGTCAGTAAACTTACCTAGCCTCCAATCAGGCGCATCGCATCTTCATGTGTAGCATTAGCAACAAATGTTTCTCTTGCTTAACTCACAGCAAGCATGTTGAAACTATAAATTAATTTCGATTCTACTCCTAAAAACTGTCTGCCCATCACGAATTCACAATCACAAGTTCACAACGCACAAATGCACTGCCCACATTATAGTAATTTTGTCATTTTAATACACTTGAATTCATAGTTAAATAAATACAGTATGAGATTAAAGTTAAAGGCATTCAGAGAAGATTAACTAACAGCCGTAAATTGAAAACTACTTGTAAAATATTAGCCAATGAGGTGCGTCGGCTCGGAGAGATATCAACGCAGGCGTAGTAGGCCGCCTACTTACTCACACTAAAATTAGTCAAAACTGCAATATCTTCCTAATGTTAAATACCTGCTTCATAAAATAATATGAAAACTTAAATTTTCGATTTCAAATTATTTAAAACATTACTGCAGAGTTGTTTTTTAATTTTGATTATTTTTAGATTTTTAGAGCTTACAAGTACCGGAAGTGAAACTTACGTATTTAGTACCGGAAGAGAATATTATCTCGGCTATAATAGCTAGATCAAAGAATATAATTTAAGCGAACTACATTTTACAATTTTTAGTCTGCAAAAGTCCAATTTTTGGTTTAAATTTAAGTAGGCTTTATATTCACGCACATTCGTTGTATAAGTGGAAGTCGATAAAAGTTTTCTGTGGAGTGGGCCGTGGTATGGGCCGTGGAGCCTTCCAAGTTGCTGAAGATTATAAATTATAAATTGTCAGGGATTGTTAATAAATTACGGACTCCAAATCTGGCTGAATCGCATTCATCCATCGCACTCGCGCACCACGTATTCCTCCCGCCCCATGCCAGCCAGTCAACGACATTTATTTTACTTTTTTTTAGTACGCTACGAACTCTTCGTGCGGCTGTACGTGTGATGATTCTTTAGCCACTCGTAGTTCGCGCGAAACTTTTTTCGATCCAAGGTTGTGAAGGGTTATAAATATTTAGAAATAGAAAACAAATTTTTCTTTTTTGTTTGAGCCCTTTAATAGTTTAACGTAAAATGTGAGTGATTTTATGTGAAGTTATTGAACTTTCTGTTTTGATTTACTGCAAAACTGCAATCAATCAGGTAAAAAAATGTGTCTATTTGTTAGTAAGTAGTAATTTGTTTTTACAAGTAACAAGTTTAGTAACCATTTATGATTTTAATGCAAAATCATCACAAGCGTAGATATAACAAATTATTAATTAGGTACACTATCCCAGGAAGTTAGAAAACCCAGGAATTTGTGGAGTTCCTAGGAATAGTACTAACGAAATATTCTTTTGACTTTATGTTTTGTTTTGTTGTAGTCTCATAACATTATTAAAAACAAAAATTGTGTTGTTCATCGAGTTGATAAGATGGATAATGATTGAATAAGGTAATCCCATTGTTTTGATTATGAGGAAGTTTTGACATAAATAAATGTTTTGTTCACTTGTCAAACAAAAAAATGTTGCATATCTTAACTCTTACTCCAATATTGTGATGAAAATAATAAACAAATTATGACAAACGTTACTGCACTAGTTTTGGTAAACATGTTTTTCGTGTCGCACCATCAGCAATCAGCTGGCCGGTGCGCAGTAGTCAAACTGGTAATATTGTAGAGGCCGTAGGTAGACTATTATTAGGTCCAGTTTACTTACAAGTAACAATCTGTATCTCTGACATTATACAGAATCTCCATCTAGTAGATAATCATACTTTTGCTGATAGCTCAGGAATAATAGTGAAAAGTAGAGTTGTATGTATACTTACTCTATTTCGCCTTTTTCATATTAGGAAGGTACTTCAAGTAAGCCAAAAAATCATAAATAAATTATATACAAAAGTAGACATTTCTTACCTAGCGCATTAAGAGTTAAATCTAATAACAATATAATACTGCATGCCCTACGACTTAACTTCTCTCTCTTATCCCAATAAGTAACACATTTCCTTACTTTTTTCACACTACCTTGAATTTTTTTTACAAACAGCCTTCTTAGTAACCAAACAACAACAAACTATAATAAAAACAAAGTAAGAAGTAAAATATAACAAACATTTGAAATAATAGTGTAGCGTGATTAAAAAAGTTCTTGTTTCGCTTGACCAATTATGTTTAAACAAAGGATGTAACCATTATGATTATGATTAACAAATAAGATAGAGGGATAGATATCTTTTTTGTAGTTAATTATGTAAGTATCAGTAATAATAAATTACGCTAGAGGAAAAGTCAATAATAAGTTAAAAACAAAATATTTCGGAGTAATTTACTTGGAAGTTGATTGTTTTGTGATTCAGCAACCCAAGTTTGTGGTTGTTACATAGATGCTGAATCACATAACGTCAGGAAAATATTATAAGCTATATGGCACGTACAAAACCCAAATAAGATTTTGCTGAGGTAATTTTTTCAAGTTGTGTGAATTTGAATTAACTATGCAACTTTAGGCTGCAAGTATTGTCTTAAGGTGTATTATGAGACTTATAATCTGGTAATTCACTAGTCTTGCTAGAAAACCTTAGTAAGTAATAACTTATACCTATCTAAATTTAGTTATTGGTAAACTTTATAGTCCTAAATGACTTTTAAATGACATACTTACACATATTAATGCAGTACATTTCCTTGATCGAATGATTTTACTTTGTCCTTCATTATCAGCCCTGTTATTCTGAGGTAATCACCAACAAAAACATTGCGTGTTACTTTCTTTGTTTATGACCTGTTGGTATCAATTCTTATCTCTTTATCGGTTGATACCCTTTTAAGTAACAGCACTAATGCTAAGTTGGTTTTGTTGACACATCCATTATGCATTCATAGAGCTCTACATAAATGCTAGGTAGGTAGGTCATGCGGTCATCGGAGATATTGATTTTCTATTGTTCTTAATTACCTAATTACTTGGTAAACGTACGCGAATGATTAGACCTAGATAGGTAGGGTAAGGTGGGGCACAATGTTACACGGGCTACAATGTTACAATGCATATTTCTCCGTCCCTTTCTATTAGTTGTATGATGTTCAGCGGCTCAGTTTAGCAGCTCTCATTAGCTTGACAAACGTGTATACCAACATCATACAACTAATAGAAAGGGACGGAGAAATATGCATTGTAACATTGTACCCCGTGGAGGTATTAGCACACCTCCGTGTTGTACCCCGTGTAACATTGTGCCCCACCTTACCTATTGCTATTGGCAACTGGCAACTACCCATTGCCGGTCATGTCGTCTCATTCTATCGCAAACAATCATCATTTGATGAGAGCGAGAGCAAAAACGGAAATGGATAGTTAACACTGTGGCCGATAACCGATATAATAGGTCCCGACTTCCTATAATAAGTAAAAGTTTAACAAATCCTAGTATCAATAAACAATAATAAAATAAGGGGGCTCTAATCTCTAAGTGTTTTTTTTTACTTCATAACTTGAGAAAATAATTTACAGATACAATTAAAAATACAGGGTGTGTTCAAAATCAAAAAAAATCAAAATCAAAAATATTTATTCAGTTTAGACCACAAGTGGCACTTATGAACGTCAATAGAAAATAATAAAAAAAAGAAAAAGGTAGCCCTTATGGGGCACTTTACATGTCTCCTTATCTTTTGGGCCCTACCAGCGCTTCGAGACAAACATATGGCAAGTGCTGAGAAGAAACGCCGGAACAAACTCAGATCGATCTTGTTACACTTGTACGATAGTATGGAATGGAACCCTTTGTTTGCGTAACCGACTCACTTGACCGGTTTATTTAACTATTTATAAAAAGACAAATCTTTTGTGGTACGAGTAGCTTCGCGCGATATCTGAAGTAGGAGGTACAGTCCTTGTCAGTCATGTTTTGCGCATCCACTAGTTAAGGCTTATTTTTACCTACATAATATAATATTGCTATTGTATGGTCAGAGATGCTACACGGTAGAGCCGGTCGTCATCTAAACATTTTTACGCAACTCGGTCAATGTCAAACACAGTCGTTTCATAACTGGAAGTTTATCTCTACACTGCCTAGGGCTACGATTTTAGTGCTACGACCACAATACTCACCTTAAACTGCATCGGTCCTAAAAAAGTTTCTGTTAAAAGCTAAGTACGTTTTAAATAAACAACTTGAAAAAATCGAACTGCCTAAGACGGGAATCGAACGCTCGCCCGGCAAGAGAAAGGTCGTTGGTTCGATTCCAAATTTTTCAAGTTGTTTGTTTAAAATTTAGTTTGAGAAGTGACTCTAATCGCTAAGAATTAGCTTAACTAAGTTATAATAACCTAATAAGTATGACTTACCTACATATGTAGTAATTAAATAACATCATGTCATGACCATAGTGAATAGGCACTTACAGGGCAGATATTTTACCATCCTAGACTGCATCCCACATCCCACAGGTCAAATACCTGCCTTTTTATGCATAAAAAAAAACTATAATCCTATGGAGTTTTGTAAAACAATTAAAAACTATTATTTTCTATTATTTATGAGCCAGCATTTTCTATTATTATCTGCCGCCAAGTCGAGCGCGAAGCAAACACTGCCGTACTATCCTTTACTGGAACCATCTCGCCGCATTTTCAGGCCTCTATTTGAGAACCTCTGGATAAGACCAGAACACAGAAATTTTCGTCATCTAGTAAGCTATAATCACATACTTAAAATCCAAAATTTCAAGTCTGTAGGTCATTTAGTTCCGAAGTTAAGCGAAAGCAAAGTTTCGCATTTACGACACTCACTCACTGATGATCATCAAAATAGAACTAGTACTTCCCATAAACTCAGAGAGCTGAAATTTGGTACAGAGTTAGGGTTTAATGGCCACATAAAGGGAAAACTATAAAAACTAAGAAAATCGAAGATCTGGAGTAACACCACATTCTTAATCAATACTACTCCGGCACCGTGGTGTTCGCCTGTATCGCTCACCGCTAGATGGCGCTAGCACTAGCAAGCGGTGTCCAGATTTTTATCCTTTCTAGAGAAAGTCGTCGATTAAGTTGAATGTTGTGTAATTTGCATTTCGTTGATTTCGTTTATTATATTGTAAGGTTCGCTAAGGTTATGTTATTAAAATAATTCTGATTCGTTGTCCATTTTAAAGGTCGTTGAGTTTATTTGTGTTTAATATCCTAAAAAAATGTCGATAAAACGACGACGTTAAATAATTTTGCCTCGTTCTACAAAAAGAAGGGAAATCCCACCAAAAACATTCTGTAAAAAACTAGCCAAGTCTCGATGGAGCTGCTTGTTTATCTCTAAAAAGTAATTAAATCTAGACAAAATCGTGCCAAGTCTATGGTTCCTTACTGCGATTTCTTTATTATTATAGTTAATGTTGTGTGACTTGGCCGTTGAACAATCTTTATTAAGATAATCATACATAAGTATTATAAATACGCAGCTTTACTAAACCTACAATTGACTGGTTATTAAATCAACGTTTTCCAAGTGGCAATTTTCCATCGTCAATGGGTAACGGTTCTGGCAACAGATTGGTGCAATGGTGTCATGGAGCACCTGGTTTTGTCACCCTTCAACGGCCAAGTCACACAACATTAAAACTATAATAATAAAGAAATCGCAGTAAGGAACCATAGACTTGGCACGATTTTGTCTAGATTTAATTACTTTTTAGAGATAAACAAGCAGCTCCATCGAGACTTGGCTAGTTTTTTACAGAATGTTTTTGGTGGGATTCTGCTTACTACTAGTACCTTGCATCATGCTGTCAAGGTGTCATGCTCACGTTTCAAAAGAAATGGCAGAGGTTAAACTCATTTACATCACAATCCTATGAACACCTCGAATATTTTATTGTTTCTTTAATAACTTTATTATAATCCATTCCATCATCATCGCGTAGTTATTGATTAAAGGAGCAGATAGGAGTTAGGAGGTACACTTCATTGGTAGAGCCAACCCGGCTTAAAGTCACCTTCTTCTAATCAGAATAAGTAGTTGGTTGTAGGTATGAAAAACCAGTTGCACTCGCATACATAGTACCTACTTAGGTACTTACCTAAAATATGGTTCTGTACCATGACGTCTTTATAGCGCTTAATATCGTTTGACAGTCACAATTAATCGAAACGATTAACGAAATAAATAACGAAAGGTTTAATTTAAAAAAAATATAATATCAAAATATTGCTCGGCACAATTTTGCCAATTCCCTACGCAGATAGCGTTAAAGGCAATTTAAATCTTAGACGCCTTCTTGTTATTTTCTAAACAATTTGCTATGATTTATAAATAATCATAAATTATCGTGCGCTGCTACGCCACTCTCTCTTTCTATTAGTGGTGACGAAGATACGAGGGCGGCACTGAAAATTTCGGGAATCAAGGAAGTGAAACAACATTACTATTTAAAAATGTATTTATTGCTTTTTAAAGTATTCTCCGCGAAATTTGACACATTTTTCCATACACGAAACCAATCATTGAAGCAAACATTGCATTCGGAAGTTTGGGTCTCCAAAATGGCCGTTTTGTAGGCTTCCACAGCTTCTTCAGGTGATGAAAATCTCTGACCACGCAATTTATTCTTAATTTTAGGGAAAGTATAGAAATCATTAGGGCTTAGGTCGGGGCTGTACGGCGGATGGACTAATAATTATATGTTTTCTTGCTCTAAAAACTCTTTTGTTCAGTGCGCGGTGTGAGAACTCGCATTGTCGTGATGGAGGATGATGCGGCGGTTGCAGTTCTCTTTACGGAGTTCAGAAACGACCTGTGGCAAACAAATGCTAGCATACTAATCTGCATTAACCGTTCTTTGTCCCCCAAGAGGAATAGTCGCAACATGGCCGGTTTTGGAGACAAACGTGGCCACCATTTTTTTTGCAACACTCCGTGAACGAACAATTTTTGTTGGCTTTAATTCATTTTCGAACACCCAAACTCGTGACTGGTTTTTTGTTTCGGGTTCGTACGCGTATATCCATGATTCGTCACCTGATACGATGTTGTATACAGCATTTGAGGATCCTGCATGTAATCTCCCGAGAGTTCTGACGCACCAAGTAACGCGAGCCGCTTTTTGCTCTTCACAGAGCGAATGCGGTATCCATCGGGAAAACAACTTTTTTACACCTAATTGTTCATGCAAGATTATTTGTATTTGACTCATGCCAATGTCTAAAGTTGCCTGAATTTCGCGGTATATCACATGTCGATCTTCTTCAATCAGCTTACGCACAGCATCAACGTTTTCTTAGGTGACTGCAGTTTTTGGACGACCTTGACGGGGATCATCACTGAGCTTGACACGTCCACGTTGAAATTCAGGAAACCAGCGATAAATTGTGGTTTTGGATGGGGCTTCATTACCAAATGCAGAAATCATCCGGTCAACACACTGTTTTTGTGTTAAACCACTTCAAAAGTCATAATAAATCATCGCTCATGAATTTTCTCGAGACAATTCCATTTTCTCAACGACTAAACAAGTTTGACAAGACCTTGTGATACGACCGAGAATCTTTTTTTAAATAAATAAATGGTATACGATTTTTGAAACCCTGGAGTTTGCAATTAAATAGATTTTAATATGACTGGAACAGTGGAAATATTCCATTCCCGATACTTTTAGTGCAGCCCTCGTAATAAGTGTCGATGATGCGGGAGATATCTTACCTAATTGAACGAATGGATACATACGGATGAGTTCTAAATGCATGTAGTATACAGTACGAAGGTAACTAGGTAACCAAATTCGTCTGTATGGGGAGCATAGGGTTTTTTTTTTATAAGGGTTAGATGTGCATGGCAGCAAAATCATCTAGATTTCCAAATAGGTACATACCTACATAGTTTCAAACCTTGACAAAGTGCAACAACTGTCGTTATAAACGCTATAGACATCGATACCGCTGGTTCCCATCACTAGACGGCCCGTGCGGTTGCAATAGGCCCAGTGATGAAAGTGCAGCGGCATCATTGTGAAACTCGGTGCATCTGACGACACTGTTATTGATATTTGTATTGTCTTGTCTCGGTACAATCGCCGCTGACCTTCTGTTTACGCATCAGTAGTTATAGATAGGCTGTTTACCAAGTCTGTAGGACTGATGTGGCGCGGGGCAGGGCAGCGTAAGGAACTAGCAGATAAAACCATCTGCTAGTTCCTCACGCTACCCTGCCCCGCTCGAACCCGAACTCAATAACCTAGAAGCAGATAAAAAAGTCCCTAAAGCAATAATATTTAGTTATGTGGCACTTACAGGTGTACGGTCCCTTTAGCAAGTCAGCTCTACCTAACTACGAACTGTGTATCGCGTTCGCGTCGCGATTAGCGATTTCGTCTGCGATTTGCCTCTATTGTTCACTACCAAATTAGGAAAACCGATCTCACCACTTCAATTTGCATTGTAACCATTAGCATAATCGGTCATCATCATTATTTTTATTAATTCATTCTACCTATAAGTCAAATGAAAACAATTATTGATTTCACCGATAATTGTGGTAAGCTAAATGGTTCCTTCTTATAATAAATCTTTTGCTGTTATATCAGTATTGGACTAACAGCCCGTGAACCCCAGACCTTCGTTATTATATAAAAGATCAAATTTTATCAGCGCCTGCTCCCAAGAACTTTCTTGCCTGTGTTGGGAGCATGCGCTGACAAACTTTCTGCTTTTATAAACTAACTAAGGCCTGGGGTTCACGGGCTGTTGCTCTATAAGTTATAAAATATTTTTCCGGAAGACTATTGTACAGTGGGTTACGAGAGAAAGCAGTATATTTTTTGTGATTTTTTTGTGCGAATTCCCGAGTTCCCTACAGTGTCAAACAACTGGCGCAAATCGGCTTTTAATTTTAATAAGCATTACAATGTGTGGTCAAAACAATGGCACATTGTGTACGTAAACATTTTCTAATCCAATTTAGTTTACGACTCAATGTCGACATCTTTCCGCTCAAGGTCCGGTGTAATTTACGCGGCACGAAACATTTGCTGCAATTTACAGAACTAGCCTGTAACATGAATGAATTAAAAAAAGTTTGATAGTCCGGTTTTTCATACGAGAAAGACATGAAATTACATTTACGATTTGAGCTTTTCGGAAATTGGTTAAACATTTGAAAACTGAATCAAAGACATGAATTTTTAGTAGAGCCTACTAACCAATAACCAAAATTCTGTCATGAAATTGATTCAGCGGTTTGAGCGTTAAAACGTAACAAAAGACCAAACCAGCAATGGAACTAATCCCAGAGGTCACAGTTCAAGGAACTTATGTCCACCATGTGGTGCAGTAACCATGTGGTTAGCGGTTGACATCACCAACTGCGTGCGCGTCTCGGTGATATTTATTGGTTGGAGAGACCACAAGCAAGCCGAGGGAAAGCGGAACTGAGCGATTGAAACGCTACACTTTTGTTTTCATTTCGTTAATGCTTTCCCTATTTGAGGTTGCACAAAGGTTTTTGGGACAACTATTGGTTTTTCTCGAACCTGAGCCCAGGGTCTGTTTTGTTTTGCGATCTTATGTGTTAACTTGCACCTTCCTAAACTTTCTACTGTAAGTTCAACGATCTGTTAGTGGAAATTTCCTAAAGTTACGCATAATGTAATTTTGCTTGCAATGTAACTTATGTGCTAGAAAAACTTTTAGTAGAGACACAAGCTTCTGAAGTCTTGACCGAACAGAGGTTAATATCCGAGATTAGTAACGAGCAAACAAAATGCTCTTGCACCTAGGGTTAAAAACAACAACAGTCTGTTGATAATTGTGTTTTTAACTGTAGGTATCACACATCACATATCAAAACATCCGTGTGTCAGTGAATGCATTAACTTTGACAAGGTTAATAGGTAGAGCTTTGATGACATTGGAATTTTGATTGAATGATTTTGTGACGGTTGTAGAGCACTTAAATTATAAATATTTATTATGTACCTATTTCATAATCAATTGGTTTCCGAATTGGTTTAAGTTCCAGGTCTTTATGTTTACGATTGAATAATATTTATCTTTTTTAATCCCCGGGCGCAAATGAGGGTTATTACCGCGTAAACAGAATAACCGATAAGTTATTTTTGTCTGAATGCTAATTAAATTAGCACAATGCTAACAAGTCTTGTCATCTTATGTAGCTATCTTTTCTTCCATCGGCTAGTATAGGTTTTAATTTTATTTATAACTGCATTGTTTGTCTTTATTAGGTAAAAATACTAGTAGTATTTTTTAACTTTGACAGTAGCCTTAAAAAATTTGAAGAGCAGCGCTTCCTAATACCTTGCTCTTTCCTTCGTTCTAATTTCCGTGACACAAGTAGCTGAGGTCAGCTAAAGCTCATTCTGACACTGCGCACGTCTTCGGAAGGCGACCAATGTCAGAATGCGCGCGAGTGGAATCGCCAACATCGTGAATATTATTATGACGGGTTTTGGTTTAAATATGTTAAATATTCATTAAACATAATTAGAATATTTAGAAGTTTTAGTAGTTATTGTGACCTTAGAATTTATAGGTATTTAGTACTAAACCTAACTAGGTAGGCATTAATATTTCCCATTATGTTGCTGTTAGATAATGGCCAATCTAATAGCTTGATATGAAGAGGCTATTGTCCAATCAACAATGGCAGAGGTACTTAATTGATACTGCACAAGAAGTTTCGATTGTTATCCAAATATTTACCTTTAATTGAGCATGCATTGTTTCGCTAATTGCTTCTCACATATAACTTCAGCATAGTCGATACATCGTTGGCATTTGCCAGGATATTGTTTTGTTAGGCGGCTTGGTAATTAGGTAGGTTTGTTGTATTTAAAATAATTGGATAGGATTTGAATGCAGGTATAATCAAGTACTTCTCTCAAGCATTTACTGGCTTTATTATACGTCCAATAAGAGTGACCTGGTTATTTTTCCGTTCATAATGTAATGATTGCTAGTTGATCACAAACTAAGTAGTTTTTTAAAAAAAAAATATGCATAACAAGGCAGATATTTGACCGCAATCGCACCTGATGTTAAGATGATGCAGTCTAGGATGTTACATCTGTCTGCCCTGTAAGTGCCTATTCACTCAAAATTTTCCCACACTTAATAAAGTCTGCTTGTTCCAGAACATCCAGATGAGAGCGATGCTCGCGCATGCACTATGCGTCGCGTATTGCGCGTGCGTCGCGGCGGCGTTGCGCGTGGGCGTCGGCATCGCAGACATGACCGGCCCGCCTGCTGAGATCAATTTCGTAAGTTACTTTTGATAAATTCTAATTTTTATCCAGATTTGGCAGGCGTATCAGTTTAGCCCTTCGAATGATTCTTGAATACAGAGGTATAAACCTGTGGTATAAATAAACCCATGTTACTTAGTTGTTCTCTGACTTTTCAGAGAAACAAAAACGGGTCCTAAATCTGTATCTGTAGAGCAGAGCACATCTATCTCTAGTGATCACTGAAAATGATTGACAGGCGAATCGCACTTCTAAAAGATACGATATAATTTTATCGTCGGTTCATCACTACGCTAATTTTAGATACGATATTACTCGTACTATAAATAAACTCGTCCACTTATGCCCAAATGAGCATAATTTATAAATGATTATGACTTTATGACCTATTCAATTTGCAATACATTTTGTTCATACACAGCTGAAAAACATGTAGTTTCGGGTCACCATACATCCGGATTTTCCAGGACGTTTTCAGGGGCCTAACTCTACCTAAAGACTGCTTGACAAAATGACAAAAACGTGCGTAAAATAGAACATAGGTAGTCAGCTATTTATCTAACTAAAGGTGATTGAATAAAGTACAATGATTGATTTTCATTCCAATAAAACATTTACTTCAACGCCATGGATAAGATTTTCAAACTTCTCTGAGTGTAAATAACATTTGCAAATTGTACTAGGTTGCACGTGTTATTGCACAGTGGTGAGTAGGTACCTACACTTTATAACGTCAGACCACCCACTAAGATCATTATGTCAATAAAAGTTCTAGAAAGATACAAGGATAATGTGGATGATAATTCAATCAACATCTTCCTTGTAAAGGAGGATCAACGAAATACAGAACTGACTTGGTTTTGTTTATTTATTTTAATCAACAATGTTAAGTTATAGTTCAAGTTAAAGAATGCAATTTTAAAACAAAAACATCTACTTATCGTGAGCACAAATCAAACAATGGACAAATTGTTATTTTAAAACGTCTCAAAGTAATAAGCTTATGAAAAGTTTAAATTGATTTCTAGTGCGTGTAATTAATTTCTCAACTGCATGCTCGCAGCAGACAAAGAAACTGCAGAGTTTCTGACATCTCGTAAGTGTACCGAGTGACCAAGCGGTCCAAGGTCGCGCGGCGAATGCGCATGAGTCACTCAATCAGCAAACTGGAGCGGTAGGGTTATCGACCAGATTTGATTGAGTGCTGCATAGTAATAGCCGTAATAGCAAAGCAAAAAAAGTCGCAAAAAGTTGCCATGACTTTGCCTTTAATGAAGCTGAAATTGCTTTTTGTATATCCTCTTAAGTTATTGTTGGAACTTCTGTAACATTGCGAAGTGAATAAATGAGTATTATGAATATGAACCCTACTGACGTCAGCAAGTACGATTGTTTTTGTCTATTATGTAGGTTGATAGAGCAATCAAGATCTGATATGATTGTAAAGCTGTTTATCGAAGAATGAGTTATCAAATCTGTGGTTATCAAAATCGGGTCATGAATCTCCAGAGATTAATTTTTGTAAACATGTTTCTTAAATAAATAGTAATTACACTCTGGCCTGGAGTTAGTATAAAAATTCTAATTATCTTATACCGTCTTGAAGTTCTTGAACCTCTGATTGTATTAAAACCATGACATTAGAAATAGACTGCGAGATATCTCATAAGCAAAGTGCTATGCTATGCTAACTTTATATTAAGTGTGGGCTTTATCCATTTTAGCAAGCCAGGCTAGGATATTTATAGAGTTCCTACTTTTAGAGTCGTCTCGTCGTCAGTAAAAATTGCATGGAAATTTTGTGCCAGACTTGTTATTGCTGACACAATGGGTTAGACGAACGATCAATAAATGATTCAACAATCCGGCAGATGATTCACAGGTATCACATGATATACCTACATAAAACAACGAAGTTATTCTTTGGAATTTTGTTTACAAACACTGATCCTCATAATAATATGTAGGAATAAGTTATTTTCTTTAAAATGAAAAAATAAAACAAAATATAAATTGTTCATGGTAAAAAAAATGATAGGTAAGTACATAAAGTCTTCGCGTTAAATATTAGTTTTTCTTTTTTTATTCACTTACTAGCTTTCCGCCCGCGGCTTCGCCCGCGTGGAATTTTGTCTGTCACAGAAAAACTTTATCGCGCGCGTCCCTGTTTCAAAAACCGGGATAAAAACTATCCTATGTTCTTTCCCGGGACTCAAACTATCTCTATGCCAAATTTCATCAAAATCGGTTGCGAGGTTTAAGCGGGAAAGCGTAACAGACAGACAGACAGACAGAGTTACTTTCGCATTTATAATATTAGTTGGGATGGGATAGTTGGGATTAGTTGGGATGGCATCCGTTTGAGTTGAGCTGATGCCTTAAAGTTTAAGTTTTAACTCGCGTCAGGCCAAGCTGACACGGAAACATCCAGCTATGTGCTAGAGACTTAATAGATAAAATTAGCCTCATCAACTCTCAGTAAACAATGATCTAACATTCACTTAATCGATTCCGGTAAATTTCCCTGTCATCGACCTCGTAATCGTCACGCAATCCATTAACGCTGATGAATCAGTAGCTATAGTATCAATTAGGAGATTTTTTAACACTATTCCGAGAAAAATATTTACTTTAAGAAGTTATTTATTTACAAGTCTGAGCTATGAAATTAATATTTTTTTCAATATCACCTTTGGCTTCTAAGCATACATTATGCTCTTGTACCTAGTACCCTCCAAATGTGTTAACAAAGGACGTCTATCAGTAATCATTCTATCGTGACATAACACCGGCGCGGGCGCAGCTTATTCATTCAGACACGGCCCGGTGCCCGTAGGGTTGCCAGGATACTAAATTCAAAATGGACAATGTTCTAGAAGCATCCGAAAAATAAAAAAACAGAAACAAACCTGATGACATAATGTAATAGGTAGCTTTCAAGCAAACGCTAAATTTATAAAAAATATTATCGTATTATTTGTTGAAAATTTTGCACTTTTTCAACTTCGAACAGCGCGTTCATCCGAAATATTCGATTTCGAATCTATCCGGAAGAATTCCGATCGTGTGGTAAACCTAGGCGCACGTATTGTTGGTAAAGCCTTGACCGCTGCGGTCTTCTACTGACTTTACTTGACCTTTTATGAAATAAAGTATTTTCGTCTTGCACTACATATTTTTTCATTTTTGATAATTTTAACTTGGGCGATGGATTGATTTCACTGTTTAAAAAGTTATTGCCTGTCTCTTAGACCAGTAAAGTGATCTTAACTTACCTAACTTTAGTTTTTGTGTTGTTCATTAGAGCGAGAGGTAATTGAACTTGGCCTAAGTTTTGGTAAAATAAAAAATAATAGGCTTTGACCATACCTGAAGTTGAATGGTTTAAGTTTTTGTTTTGTTTGGCAATGCATCCTTGTCTTTTCTTTTGATTAGAGTGAGAGCAATTGATGTTGTTAGTAGCATTTGGGTTGGCAGGTTGGTATTATAAGAAAGAGACAGCTAGGAGCTGTCTACCTTTATTTATTTTTTCATCAAATATGAAATGGTTTTGAAATCCAAAGAATTGTGAGTGTTTGCCCGTGCTATATGCTATATAGTTAACAGTGTCTCGACAGAGAGTCATTATCCGAATTACTGTCTAACTATACTTCTAAGCCCATATTATAAAAAGAAACTCGATTCAAACTTAATCTTAGATTCAACCAGCGATTGGTTACATTTTAATCTTTGATCCAATAAGGTTGATGAAGCTATGACACATTTTAATTGATTGTCTGTTTAAGGGTTAAAAATACAACTAGTTATTTGTTAAATGAATTCGCTATGTTAATAGTAGTGGAGTTACAAAAGTCAACTACGAGTATGTGTCCTCTTTCTAGAACATTCTGAATTCTGATTAACAGGTCCAGTCGCTTCGGCAGTTGCGACTGGCGAATACAGTCAGGGTCGACTGCTAATATTCTTGGGCAACCTGTTCAATGCTACGTTTCTTGGTAACTGTACATTATTTGTGGTTACTTTGTATATTATGGCAATTCACAAATATTGACTAGATTGGAGAGAATGTCCAATGGTAGGTAGGTTCTTACCTACAATACCTACTTATACTGCGAAATAAGTTTTAAATCTTGCTTATTATGGCCGGTGCCAGGCCAAAGATGAACATGAACTTAATTGACAAAGTATGCCAGTTAAACCTGGTAAATAAGAAACAAAAGCTAAACGCATTCATTTATGTAGGTGTTAGGTAAGTAAGCGTAACAAAACCACTTGGAAACAATAAGCAAAATCATCGCGCGAAAAGCATACCTACAGATGAAGTGAAAAGAAAACAGCCAGTTCTGTCAGTGATAATAGCTAAAGAGTAGAAAGAAATAGCTAAAGAGAGAATAGAAAGTAGAGGGGTAATGTGTCCATTGCCCCTCTACTTTCAGTCAATTTAACATTTTTTAAACCAAATCAATAAATACTAAGTTCATCAAAATAAGTAATTCTGAGGGGAAAGGGTGAAAGGGTCTAGGCCGAAATTCTAGAGTCTAGAGCGTCCGCTAACTTAAGAACATACTTAATAGGTATTTAGGGGTTTTCTAATATTGTAGGGCGCACAGATTGCGAGTTTGCTAACCCTTCTGCTAACACTTCTGGAAGCAGCCAGGGAGTGTTGCGTTCGCAGAAGTGCAGGCACACTGTAGAATGACCGTGTTGGCGATCGACTCACCAAAGCGACAGTGGAACCGAGAGAAACCTGTACTTGAACCACAGCAACACCGTGCCGATGATAACTGATTGGCTGTCCTCTTTGCCCTGTGAGTTTCATTAGCAAACACTCGCGACTTGCGGTATTGACGTTGGTTGTTTGATTTCCTAACTCACGGGTCTAACTTTGAACCACTCGACTGATACATACTGGTAATATCCGTGTTTGCGTTGCGCTGATTCGCATATTGGACTGCAAGGCCATTAGAAATATCCATAGTAACAGCGACTCTACATTTTAAAGTTGTACCTATTACTTTTCTCATATTTTTTGTTGCTTATCATTCCAAAATCTTCTACGCCACTACCGATACCATCCCTCAAAAAGTAATTAAGTTTTAATGGTCAGTTTTAGATAGTTAAATGTTTATTTTTACAATGCTATTGTGACTTCATTGCCATAGGTTTCAGGCAAATATTATTCTTGAGAATAATATAATTTAATTAAAAAGATTTCCAGAGGAAAAGCAACTTATCTGAACCGTTCTGTATCTAAGAGGTCTTATGAGAAGGGAGCACGTATATGTGAGGAAAATAAAACGTTCTAATGACTCCTATCCTCTTTCCAGATGGGCTACGCCAACTTCGAGCAAGTCGGCACTGGCATCCACTTGCGGCAGTTCTCCCGAGCCTTCATCCTGGAAGACGATACCAACGGCTCCAATCAGAGGCTTGTGTTCGTGTCGGCTGATGCTGCTATGATGGGTCATGGAGTCAGGAGAGAGGTGAGCCTTCCTCATTTATTTCCTTGGTACTTGTCAGCGGTTTCATGCTGTAAGATGATATCTTCTTCTCAGTCGTTACACACGTCATCAGGATTGTGAATTGTTGTGCAACATCCGCTATTTATTTATTTATTCATGAATAGAACGGTAGTACCAATTACACTATTCAAACAAGACTTAACAAAGTTCAGAATAACATTTAAGAACTTATCAACAATTTAACTTAATTTAGGAAAAGTACATAAATCAGATGCGATTATTTTCACAGTAACCAAACATTCTGCTAGTAATGTACTCCACCCCTCTGCAAATACGTCACATTTTGGGTTTTGGTCCAGGAAACGATTGAGAGCACTTAATGTGCTATGTTGCTTGTATTACGGTGTCTCGCCATCTTTCCCTGATGGTGGTCAATTCTGTGAACTCGTGTAGGGGACCGCCCACAGCAGTCTTGGTTATGCTTGTCCGTCGCATTGGCGAACCTAGATGATATCTATCTGGCTTGAAACCTCTCCTGTGGATGCTCATGGGCCACCGAATGAGTAGAAAGAGAACAAGTTACGTTCTCATACCAGATAAATCCGTCAACTTCAAACAGTTCGACAAAGGCATGTGCCATTAACCTGTTCCACTCACGGGGTATATCGGGAGAAGATACCAGCGGTTCTATTCCGATGGATGCTTAATATGTTATGTCAGGAGAATTAAACCAATAAGCATACAATATTATTAAATTTAAACTGCGCTCGTGGTATTTTAAGGAAAAGTAGATTAAATCAAAAACTCGTTTTATCAGGAAGGAAGTGGCAGCGTTATGAAGGCGATAATTAATATACTTGTTTATTACTAATACATTGGTAGGTATTTTGAGAAGTGTCCCTAATTGTGCAAACAGTGGTTACCTAAAACAATGATATAAATTCAGATTGCCATGAAATACAAACATTGAGTGACAGAACGAGAAACATTCAACAAAATCCTATTCGACTCGAGTTAAAACAATCCCATCAAAAACAATACTTGTCAAAAAAACCAAGTCTCGCAACTCAGTTGTTCTACGGTAAAAAGTTGTGAGATCCAAATTTCATTCAATTTGAACCAGTAGTTTAAGAATTATAACGGGTCAAAGTTACTTAATTTTGTCACTCACTGACTCACTGACTCACCGATCATCAAAACTCTAAGGCACTTCTAGCAGACCTAGAAGCTTCAAATTTGGAATATAAGTAGTGTTTGGTGTATGAATCAAGGAAAAACTAAAATATTTGGGGGCACGGTAGCGCAACCGCCAAGTCGAGTAAAATTTTTCAATTTCGGTCCAGTTTTCTAGATACATAACTGCTGTCTACAAAATACAAAAAGAAATGAGATCCCATCAAAAACAATACTTGTCAAAAAAACCAAGTCTCGCAACTCAGTTGTTCTACGGTAAAAAGTTGTGAGATCCATGTAATACCAAGTCCAGGCCAGGAAATCTTTAACGTTTTACATAAATATATTGACTTGGCCATCGCATGAAAACACGTGTAAATTAAATTATTTAGTGCGATGGCCAAGTCAATAATTTATGTAAAACGTTAAAGATTTCCTGGCCTGGACTTGGTATTACATGGATCTCACAACTTTTTACCGTAGAACAACTGAGTTGCGAGACTTGGTTTTTTTGACAAGTATTGTTTTTGATGGGATTTTTCTTTTTGTTTTACTGTAAAACTACAACTATAAATGAAGTAAACAAACCCTGACACAATCAAAATTAAACACACTTTTTGGACTTACCTCATTTGATTTGAATGACCAAAATGATTTCAAAACCTTTTTTCCACCCAAATCGTGGTATCACAACAATTTATTAGTTGAAAATATTTGTTATTTTTTCATTTCGATATTTTTTCACAAATATACGACCTAAATGTCAATGTGACAGAGCCCACAAAGTTGTGGACGCTAGTTGGCGCTGTAATCGTGCACGGAGCCAATAGTATCTATTTAGCGAATATTTCAACAGGTACCTACAGCCGCGATGTAGCGACAAAGTTGACACAACTTTGTGCCGGTAATTTATGTGTCGTGCCTCCGAGAAGTTGGTTATTACGCCGAGTTATGTCTCGTACACAGTTTCAGAGGCAACGCCTATTTTGGTGTCGATCGACTCTTTAAAGCTTCAGCCAAACCAACGCGTGCAGATCGCGTCGGCGATGGCGATCACTGCGCGTGCATAGATAGGCCAATGCCAGGAAAAATCTGTCAAAAGTGATATTAACCAAGGCGCAAGGGCATCAGTCAAAACCACTTTTGACCCTTTATACATTTCATTAACATTGTGTAATAATTTATTGTTCATCATCATCATAATTTCAGCCACAGGACGTCCACTGCTGAAAATAGGCTTCCCCCAATGACTTCCACATCGCACGGTTGGTAGCGGCCTGCATCCAGCGCCTTCCTGCTACCTTTATCAGATCGTCGGTCTACGGACGACGGAGCCCGACGGATTAGCAAGCTAAAGTGGCAATAGGCAGCATGTCGATTCTATAAAATTCTAACAAAAACTCCCTTCACCCAACGATGTCCAGAGTCCCTTCACTTAAGTTACAAAATGACCTTGATTCGGCATTCTGTAAACATTTCTCAGCGCGAGTGATGAGAAGTGAACAGTGAGGCGGCCTAGGGATTGACACACGCAACAAAAATGTTAGTCGAGTTTTTCGATTCAAGTTTTTTATTTAAATTAATGGGATTTTGGCACAAAATTTGAAGTCATTATTTATTTCTTTAACTTAAATGTCATAATCTGAACAAATTAAGGCAGATTTTACGTTAAAAACTAGAAATCTCTAATTCATAGCATATACCTACATAATCTGTGCTCTTACAAACGAAACAAAATGTCAAATTTACTTGTTGATTGTTTACGTTTGATGTTATTGATGTTTGAGATTGAGAAAATCTTAAAGTAAGTATACATTTGTGTTTGTGAAAGTTTTTTTATACGATATTTTTAAGTTACTTAAGTAATAATCTAATTAATTTAAAATGTTTCAGTCAAATGAGGCACGATCCTCTCACCCATCGTCAGTCCAAGTTGAAACTGTTCGAATTTATGTAAAAAAAAAGAAACCCTGGCTTAGCAAAGGGTTTCTTGAGATACACACCATTGAAGCCATTAAACAGAATAAAAATACCACATAACGAGGTTGGCAGCTTCAGTAGGAGGAACAAGCCGTGCGCTAAACACTATAAACATTACAAACAATGAACAAAGGCCAAGGTTAGTATCCGCTTATCAACATGGTTGACCCACTTAACATTCTTTAAAAGCAAACCACAAGATGTGCAACGAATGTTGGTTTTTTAAGTGTGCTCGTTGGATTCATTAACCCCACCGAAATCGAAATTAAAAGAGTAATGCATGATTTTGTTCTAATTTTTTTTTATATTGTAAAGACCAGTCATATATATAATTATTATGTATAGATTGTTTCGGATATAGAAAACTTTATCTTGTATGGATGTTATGCCATGCACATACTTATGTCACAAATGCCATTAAAACTTAATACATTATTTTTCATACTGTCTTTTTCAGCATAACATTCCACAACTCCTCCACGTACTGTTACTCCAACCGCCGTCTCAACAGCGATCGGAATATGCGACATTTACTGAGAGATTCCTGAGGGTGGTAGAACAGCAGAACTTGCAGACATTGTGTGGAACGCAAAGCGGAAAGAGAAGAGACACTGACTGAAGCCCTGACTGAACTGGGAAAAGGATTGGAAGCTTTAGCAGAAGCTAATAAATGGATTAAAGATAAAATATTACTACAGCTTTATTTGTTTAATTTCTTTACTACATATTTCTATTACTGTGCCCCTCAGAAAGTAATGATAATTAGAGGTAGTCTTAATAATTATTTTAAATACGAAATACATTTATACATAGGTATATTTTATTATTCAAAATAATTAAGATAAAACAAAAATTTTAATGAAAGTTTGTACATATCCACACTTATTATTCTTTTAGGTACATACATGGAGATGTAAAATGTTTGATTTATAGTTTGCAGAATATGACTGCTTCTGGGGAATTATATTCGGTAGGTACCACTCACTGGTGTCATTAGGCAGGCGCATGGAGCATATCCTAAATCACCTAAAAAAAAGAACACAAGCATCAATCACACATTACAAAAATTAAAATTGCCTCACATCCTAAGTAGTAGTGACTCACCAAGCAAAACCACTTCATCACCAGCCTTTGTACATCTCTTAAGTGGTTTTTTTACTATAGGTAGGTAAATACAGTGATTAAAAATAAATCAGACTTGCATAGCACCACCATTCCACCATATTAAGTTGGATCCGCATTTGACTTATTTAGATCTTTTATCTGTTATCTGAAAAAAGAAATAATATTAGAAGACACATTCTTCGAGTGGTGAGGTTACATAAGGGTGATCAAAGAACAGGAAAAAGACCTGCTCTATCACACAAGGACATAAGTTATTTATTGTATTAATTAAACAATATTTTTTATGTAATTGTATGTGAATGTACCTATTGTGAACTCGTTAGCTTTATATCAAACCCTTTGAAATCTATTTTAAATTGTGTAATAATATCAATGTAATAAAAAAATAACTTTACTTAGGCTTACCTTTACTCGAGTTGAAATCCATTTTGCCTTTAATAAAAACATTCGTGTCATCCCTAATATGCATAATTAAGTTCAAATAAATATCACAAAACTTATTTTTAACACATTTGAACACTAATAAAAGTAATTTTAATGCAATTTTCTAAAACTCCGTCTATTCTCACTCACAAAATACTAACTTTTTATTTGACATTTTGGAGCGCATTCGAGTGCGAAGTGTGTTTCGGAATGAGGCTGGAATTTCCTTACAGAATGCCACTCAAAACGTCATCCCATACAAAATCTCACGATCAATTAGTTCAACCCGCTGCCGCGCCGACAAGCGTAGCGCTAGAGTAAATTCGTGGCGACGATCGAGTTTATAGAATGCAAATCTAAAAACTCATCGCGGATTTAGTTGCGATGTCTAGGTGAAGGTTTTATAGAATCGCACTGCTGGATGTGGTATTACATGGATCTCACAACTTTTTACCGTAGAACAACTGAGTTGCGAGACTTGGTTTTTTTGACAAGTATTGTTTTTGATGGGATCTCATTTCTTTTTGTATTTTGTAGACAGCAGTTATGTATCTAGAAAACTGGACCGAAATTGAAAAATTTTACTCGACTTGGCGGTTGCGCTACCGTGCCCCCAAATATTTTAGTTTTTCCTTGATTCATACACCAAACACTACTTATATTCCAAATTTGAAGCTTCTAGGTCTGCTAGAAGTGCCTTAGAGTTTTGATGATCGGTGAGTCAGTGAGTCAGTGAGTGACAAAATTAAGTAACTTTGACCCGTTATAATTCTTAAACTACTGGTTCAAATTGAATGAAATTTTAAATATACCGTGTCTTTACAATGCCTGCATAGCTAATGAAAATTCAGCCTTCTAGTTTTATCCACAACGAAGTTACAGGCGGTCGAAAATGGCCTGAATTGCTTCGAGAAAAGGATGGTACGGCCGTGCCGCTTTTTTGCTCGACTTGGTGGGGGCACTGCCGTGCCCCCAGATAGAATTGTTTTAGAAATAATTAACATAAGTTAACGGGACGGGCTATCTATTTTAACATAGTTATGTCTAAACAAAGCCTGTGCACTTAACCTATGAAGACCATGCATAGTCGTAAAATTTACAACATAAATACCTGCGTAGTTATGAAATCTTTTAGCAGAGAATAAAAAAAAAATGACTCATAAGCGACTCTGACAATTTTTAATTGGTAATGAAATGTAAATTTTACTTAATAAAACAGTAGTAGTAGAATAATTTAGCAAATTTCATAATTTGTTGAAGCAAATAATAATTTTATTTAAGATTATTAAACACTTGTGTATTTAGAAACTAATATTTTATGATAATAGAAATTGTTCAGAAAAACAGTCAAGTGGTATGTTATTTACCTTACGTATTTTATTTAAAACTCCACAGCAGTTCACTGTCATACGCTGAAATGAGGAACTAATCATAGACTTAAATTTCTTAACTTCTTCTTATTAACCCGTTGAAAGCTGTGCGACTCTCCGGCGACTTGAACAAGAGTTTTTCTATCGAATCTGCAGGTCATATAGCGCCTGCAGAAACGATACGGGGACATAATATAAGTACAAAACGTGGATCTTGAATCCTGGGCGGGAAATAGTTTTTCTGTTAAGTCTAATCAGTTTCTCAGCAGTCAGACTCAGAGTCCTTTCAAAATCCCCTTAAAGGTCATAAAGCGTCTATAGAAGTGATACGGGGACTAACTAGAGTTTCACAGAAGCAGACTCAAGAGACAGATAGGTACAACGACCAGCGTAATCCTTAGCGGGACAATAGTTTTTATATTAAGTCTAGTTAGTTTTCCAGTAGTCTGACTCAAGAACCCTTAAAAACCCCTCCCAGGTTATAAAGCGGCTGCAGAAGTGATACGGGGACATATACAACGACCAGAACGTGATCCTAAACGGGACAATAGTATTATATCAAGTCTAGTCAGTTTCCCAGCAGTCAGACTCAAGAGTCATAAAGCAGACGCTTTATTTGCAGACGCAGAAGCGATATGGGGACATATACAACGATCAGGAATGATCTTCCTAAGCCCTAAACGGGACAATAGTTTTTCCATCAAGTCTAGGCAGTTTCTCAGCAGGCAGACTCAACGGCCCTTACAAATCCTCTTCCAGGTCAAGCTAAAGCGCCTACAAAATAGTTATAGGGACTTATGTTTATTTATTAAATCCCCCTTCCAGGTCATAAAGCGGCTGCAGAAGCGATACGGGGACATATACAACGACCAGAACGTGATACTGAGCGGGACCCACACCCACTCCACACCGGGCGGGTTCCTGATCGACTTCCTCTTCGACCTGCCCATTCTGGGCTTCGTGAGGGAGACCTTCCTCGCTTACATCGCTGGGATTTATAAGGTAAACCTCTAGACTTAAGTCTTAACTTCTACATTAGACTAATGACTTACTTAGATAAAAAAATAATTGCGTGGATCTGAGTTGTTGATTTATCAAAGTTCAATTATCAACCTCAAAAATGTCTTTGTTTTAATGAATTTGTTAATATTTTACACATAAATAAATAAATATTTAAACGAATGTGTTGTCCTTAAAGAACATTTTAACATGTCTCACTCATATCACTTTCCTGTTGTTTATTACAGTCTTTTAATTTTCCTTGAGAAATCTTTTCTACATACATACGATGTGTGTTCTTTTTTCAGAGTATAGTCATAGCTCACAATAAGCTGACTCCAGCAAGAATGGAGTACGGAGAGATTGAAATACTAAACGCGAATATCAATCGCTCACCTACTTCATACCTGCGGAATCCGCCGGAGGAACGAGCTAGGTAAGTGATAAAAATATCATCGTCATGTCATTTATATAGTCTCAAGTGCAGAAGCACGCCTCTCTGTAATTATACAGAAGCAAATGATTTATTATCAGGCCATTTATTTAGTGTCCAGGAGTACGAACCCTTCTAATTTATTAATTTAAAAGTAAATGGAGGATTTGACCTGCACCCCTCAGTCTGGCTAGACGGGTTGGGAATGGAGTTTCATTCCTCAAATGTTTGTCTCGAAGCGCTGATAGGTCAAAAAGATGAGACATGTAAAGGTCATTTACGTAACCTCTTCATCCCGCTGTTGCGTTACGGGCTACGGCCGAAAAAACCATGCGCTGGCGCTGCTTCGACGCTGCGCAGGCGCTGGAAAAACAATGACGCTCGAAAGACGCTAGTGTAGAGGGTCCTTTATCATTATCTAAATATACAGGGTGGAATTTTGTAATGCCACCTGAAGGGAAAGTACTCTTAATATAGATAGAAAATACTCAAAGAAAACATTCTTTTATTTTTGAAAAGAAATAGAATTGCATTCGGAGTTAGCGGGGAAAAAAATTGTATGAAAAAATCTAAACCGCGTAAGATAGATGAAGGGGGTAAGTTTTCTATAAAAATGTATAAGTATTTTATAACAAAATAATTTTCTCTTTGCTTTCAGATACAAATACGACACTGACAAGACATTAGCGCAGTTGAAATTCTTATCGCCATCAGGCGGGGTGCTGGGCGCGCTGCAGTGGTTCGCGGTGCACCCGACCAGCATGAACAACACCAACCGCCTCGTGTCGGCCGACAACGTAGGCTTTGCGTCGCTACTTATGGAGAAGGCGCTCAACGGGAACAACACGGCGCCCGGCAAGGTCAGTGGGGCTTGGAAGGCTGCTAACACGAGACTGTACAACTGTACGCTGATTCACATCCGGCTCGAAGGACCAATATTGCTACTCAGAAAAAAATAAAGAACGTAACACGGGTTGTACACCAATAGGTCGCTGGTTCATATCCGGCTCGAAGGACCAAAAAAAATAAAAATAAAGAACGTGTCACGATCTGGAGCGCTTTTGGCGTCACCCGGGATCATGAACAACACCAACCGCCTCGTGTCGTCCGACAACGTAGGCTTTGCGTCGCTACTTATGGAGAAGGCGCTCAACGGGAACACCACGGCGCCCGGCAAGGTCAGTGGGGCATGAGAAAGATGTTCTATAAAAATTATTGGTGTGGAGGAATGGAGGGTCGCTCGAAGCGAGGAGAGCGAGACTCTAGCCTGAGACGGAGCTCGTGCTTATGGAGAAGGCACTCAACGGGAACAATACGGCGCCCGGCAAGGTCAGTGGGGCTTGAAAAAGGGTGTACTATAAAAACAATTGGTGTGGAGGAATGAAGGATCCCTTGAAGCAAGGAGAGGCTGACTGGAGAGCGAGACTTTAGCCTTAGACAGCTCATGCTTATGGAGAAGGCGCTCAACGGGAACACCACGGCGCCCGGCAAGGTCAGTGGGGCTTGGAAGGCTGCTAATACGGGACTGTACAACTGTACGCTGATTTATATCCGGCTCGAAGAACCAATATTGCGGCTTAGAAAAAAAAATACAGATCACATGCGCCCGGCAAGGTCAGGCCCTATGTTTTCCGTCAGGAAATGCGTGAAACTGCATGCTGGTGGGTACCAGCCACGGCGTTGGTCGTCGTCGTGGATTATTCCACTTTGTTCGCCTGGGTGAAGATTTCACCTAGCTTTATTTTCCAGGTGAATTGATTCGACTAAAGTGGTCGCCTTTGTTCACCTAGGAATTAATTCACCCAGATCTTTGCATTTGTTTACCTGGGTGAATTAATTCGTAGTTGAACAAAGGCGACCGCTTTAGTGTACTCATTTTACCTGGATGAAATGGTTCCGAGGTGAAATGAGAACACTAAAAATTCAACTTTCTTCACCCAGGTGAACAAAGAAGAAGTTGACCATCGAGAAGAATTTTCGGTAGGCTACTGGCTGGCTACTGGTGCAGCTTGTTAGCACATCGCTTCCGCGGGACTTAACTGTAGCTCAAACATTTTCCCGACCTCAGTGCGGTAAAATCCTGGCCGCCGGGCATCCACATGGCCGGCGGTGGTTGAGACCCACACTTCTTAGAGTGTGGGGCTCGTCAACCTCCATTAACTTTTTTAATTATTGGAATGTCACTTGCTAATCCTTTGAGCTACGAAATTAACACACAAATATTATTTTCAGGGCAACATAGTGTGTGCGTTCGCGTCGACAAACCTTGGCGATGTTTCTCCCAACATCAAGGGTCCTCGATGCGAATTCTCCGGTAAGGTGAGTTTGTTATTTTCAATAATGAAGGAAACTCAACTCAAAAGTTAATGAAGCATATTGCTGATGTATGGTATTATGTTTAAATTATGAAGAAAAAATAGGTACCTGTTTTATTCTATTTATTTAGATACTCATAATAATAATTAAGGTGTACAATGACCCTCAATGTGGCGTCACTCTTTGTTACATTTTCTACAAAATAAATTGTATTTGAACAGCTATTTACTTGGAATTTTGGAACTCATTTGGAGTTTAATTAAAAGCTTAAAGTATTTATTTGTTACTCGTAATAAATGACCTGTAAAATATATTTCCTCGTAGGTATGCGACCAAGAGAAGCTGCTCTGTAAGCAGCCTAAGGAACGCTGCTTCGCGTCAGGCCCCGGCGATGATATGTTCGAGAGCACCAGGATCATTGCCACCAGGATCTATGAAGGAGCTATGGTAAGATTAAGATTGAACATGCTTTACGAGTAACCGAGACCACTTCGGTTGTTGGCCGGGTAGTAGTCAAACTCAAGCGTAGATTCGCGTTTGTTATTGGTTGAAATCGAAGCATCTGTGTGCTTACCATGAGTTTACGTTGAGTGCGCTCGCTAGCGAGTACGTCAAAAAAATATATGAAGATTTTATTTCTTGAAAGTAGCCGCTAATGGCGCTGCACAATATGCCATACATCTAATGTCGTTTTTTTACGCAGTCGCTAGCGAGCACACCTAACGTAAACTCATGGTAAGCACACTGTAAACGAACTAAAGTCGCTGACATAGTCTGATGGATTATTAAGCTGAAGTAGTTATGTGCAGGACGACTACAAATCGGCTGAGCGGAACCCTAAAAAGATAAAAGAAACCGCAGTAAATACGTATACGTACATACCTATAGTTATGTAATAAATCATCGGCGCTCGGCAAGTACATCAAAAGACAGAGACAGCGCGAGCGCGCAAAGGACAGCGATAGCACGCGCGCCCTCGATAACCGCCCTTAGCGCATACGCAATAAGGTTCATATCCGGACACCTTATAGTTTGTTTACGACTCCCGCGAGTTCGAGTAAGTACTTGTGTATTCCCGAATACGGGCGGACCGCGAATTGTTCCAGAAAATAGGCGGGATTTAGTGATATAAAAACAGACTGCCGGGCCGAACCAAGTATAGTCTTCTCTAATCAATCGAAGTGAATAGTCTTCTCTAATCAATCGAAGTGAATAGTCTTCTGAAATCAATCGAAGTGAATAGTCTTCTACAAACAATCGAAGAGAATAGTCTTTCACAGTCAACCGAAGTGAACAGTCTCAAGATAGTCTACGAAGAATAGTCTACTCAAGAGTCTCAAGAGCGCATAGTGAATAGTACAACGACTACAGCATAGACCTCGGACACCGCTATTGCTTCGCGACTTCGGATACCGTATTGACCGGACTCCTACAGCGTGTGACATCGACCGCACCGTGTTCACCGTATAGAACGTCACTCCGCACATAGTATAGAAGCCACGAGGTACGAAGACGTGGCAACGATCCACCACCGATTATAGTATAGTAGTGCAGCGATTGGAGACACCGTCAGCGGAGCTTCTACAGTCTACAGTCCACCGCTCTCCGTTTCACCGCATCCGTACAGCCCACTCCGCTCATCCACTCCAGTCACAGTTATCTGGCTCCGACAGTTCCGTACAGTTTTTATAGCCGGATAATAAACAGTCCTGCACAATTTTTCTGGTCCTTCGAGCCGGATCGTTGTCTACCGATCCCGAAGTTATAGAACCTTCGAGAACACCGAAGCGGCCTTCGTGAAGTGGCATACTACAGCACCGATAGAAGATGCCTGTGACAAGATCCAGGAAAGGCAAGGCGAAAGCTTCGAAGCCCACTACACCGCCTATGACGTCATCACCGGAACCGCCTACAGAACACATGACGTCATCACAGCAGCTCACCGTTACCGCGCAAGAGGAACTAATACAGTTGGGGCCTCCATCCGTAACAGACGTCACAGGAGACGAACAACACTCGACGGCTTCACCGCGAGCACCACTCGCGCATACCGATTGCGCCCGTCGACTAGCCGAGGCGGAGGCGGAGATAGCCCGCCTACGATTAGAGCTTGCCATTGCCCACCGCAAGCTTATAGAAATGGAGTCCGCCGATAGTGAAGATGACTCAGCGTCTTTGAAAGGAGATGGCGACTTACAACCGCCATCCCCTGTAACCGTCACCGTACCGCAGCCGACGTCATCAAAAATTAACCTCACTGAACTTACTACAGCCATCGCAACCGCAGCGCGGACCGGACAGCAACAACAGTATGTGGCAGAATTGCCGAACTACAGTGGCGCGCACTACGATTGGCTCGCATTCAAAGCAGCCTACAATGAAACTGCGAGTTTCTTCAGTGAAATAGAAAATATAGCGAGACTCCGGCGGTCACTCACGGGAAGAGCAAGGGAAGCCGTGACCTCCTTGCTAATAGTTAACGCGAAGGCGCAAGACATAATGCGCACTTTGGAGATGCGCTTTGGCCGGCCGGACTCTATAGCCCTGTCCGAATTAGAAAATTTAAGGAGACTACAGAGACTCACCGATTCGCCGGAAAAGGTTTGTGTGTTCGCTACCCGAATACAAAATAGCATAGCAACACTTCGAGCACTCAATCGAACACACTACCTCTACAACCCGGAAATAGTACATAGTTTAACTGAGAAGCTGACACCAGCGCTTCAGTACCGCTGGTACGACTTCGCATGGGAGCACACAGAGGAGGAACCGGACCTCATGAAATTCAGCCGCTTCATCGAGCGAGAAGCCGAAAAGTGTGCCAAATTCGCCACTCCCGAACCGATCTTCAGAGAAGATAGTTACCGATACCGCAAACAACAGCACACCCAGCGTGTCTTCCACATCAAGAGAGTACAGCAGAGACCGCCGTGCCCAGTGTGCGACGGCAACCATTCCGTTACCGACTGTGGCAAGCTGAGAAAAGCCATCAGCAGTGAACGCTGGGATATCGCAAGACAGAAACGTCTATGCTACCGTTGTCTTCGTCCCTGGACAAGAGCACATAGATGTCCAGGGATACAGTGCAAAATAAATGGCTGCAGGAAAACCCACCATAAATTACTGCACCACGAAACAGTTGCGCCTACAGAAAAAGTGAATGCAGTAGTTTCACTTACGCACGTCGATAAAATTGTGGATAAAAAACGATCAGGCGCTAATAGAAATCGAAGATCATCGCATAACCGGCGGGAGTCATCGAGAAATATAAACCAGCGAGAGTCATCGCACCTTCCATACCGGCGGGAGGCTTCGTGGCGTGAAAATAGAATAGAAGAAAAGTATAGAAACTTCGACAACCGCACATCGTCCGTACCACGCCAAACACCGCGAAGTAAAGACAGACGGCGTTCAACAGCAGACTGCTATAGACAACGCCAAACTACAGAATCAACAAACTGGAGAGAGAAGACTCCAGCACCGGCGGGAGCTACAGAACCGCAAGATAGAAATCCAAGTAACAGTTATCTCTGTCACCGTTTCACCGAGCAGAAACAGCAGTCGTCCTGCTAGCTGTTTTTCTGCATCGACGAGTCCGTCGCTGCACGGCGGGAGNCTTATAGTTTGTTTACGACTCCCGCGAGTTCGAGTAAGTACTTGTGTATTCCCGAATACGGGCGGACCGCGAATTGTTCCAGAAAATAGGCGGGATTTAGTGATATAAAAACAGACTGCCGGGCCGAACCAAGTATAGTCTTCTCTAATCAATCGAAGTGAATAGTCTTCTCTAATCAATCGAAGTGAATAGTCTTCTGAAATCAATCGAAGTGAATAGTCTTCTACAAACAATCGAAGAGAATAGTCTTTCACAGTCAACCGAAGTGAACAGTCTCAAGATAGTCTACGAAGAATAGTCTACTCAAGAGTCTCAAGAGCGCATAGTGAATAGTACAACGACTACAGCATAGACCTCGGACACCGCTATTGCTTCGCGACTTCGGATACCGTATTGACCGGACTCCTACAGCGTGTGACATCGACCGCACCGTGTTCACCGTATAGAACGTCACTCCGCACATAGTATAGAAGCCACGAGGTACGAAGACGTGGCAACGATCCACCACCGATTATAGTATAGTAGTGCAGCGATTGGAGACACCGTCAGCGGAGCTTCTACAGTCTACAGTCCACCGCTCTCCGTTTCACCGCATCCGTACAGCCCACTCCGCTCATCCACTCCAGTCACAGTTATCTGGCTCCGACAGTTCCGTACAGTTTTTATAGCCGGATAATAAACAGTCCTGCACAAGTTAAGTGTGTAAGGCACATAGTACGTATCACTGATAGATGATGGGGTAGCAAGGTTCTAGAGTGAAGGTGGCGCACCGGAAAACGCAGCGTGGGACGTCCACCCTCAAAGTGGACCGACGACATCATAAAGGTAGCAGGAAGGCGCTGGATGCAGGCCGCTACTAACTGGTCATTACGGAAATCATCGGGGGAGGCCTATGTGGACGTCCTATGGCTGAAATGATGATGATGATTTGTTGAAATGTAACCCCGACCAATCACAGGGTTGATTCTGTTCTTGAATGTTTATAATTTTGATATTTTGTAATTTACTGTCCTGATAGTAGCGCTACTGTAGCGCTTCCTCACGCCTCTAATTTGAAGGCGTCCTATAAAGTGCTATAAAGTATAAAGGCTCTAATGCCCGTTTTCACCATCAATCCAATGAGGGTTTTTGCGTATGAAAGATCCGCTAGATGGCGGGACGTGGATGTGGGGTCTGACTGCTGCGTGATTGGTGGATTTTGACATATCTGTCAATGTCATGTCAAAAATAACCAATCATGCAGCATTTGGACCTCGCGTCTACGTATTGCCATCTGGCGGATGTTTAATACGCGAAAACCCTCATTTTTAAGTGACCCCTTTGAAAACAAAATTCCTGTTATGTGTTGCCATAGGGGTCACTTATAAGTTAAGGATTGATGGTGAAAACGAGCATAAGTAGACTCGCACTAGCTCACTCGTAGACTAGCACTCGCGCAACTCCCCGCTAATCCCCGCTAAATTTTGTCAGTGTGTGCGTGCGCGCCGCATACGTATTGGCACGCTTACATAAAAACCGCGCTCGGTGCGTTTCTATGAAGATATACACCACTAAATTTTTATCACCGAAAAAATTTTAACAGGTTATGTAGAAACGTGTGGAATATTGAAAGCAAAAGAAAAAGAAATGGTTTTCATGAAGTTAATTTTTTTATTAAATTTTCGTTGGGCCGTATTTTACGCGTCACAGCTGGGTCACTCCGCTGCTCGCTAGAGTAGTCGTACGCGCTCGCACGTTGCATCGATCTGTCTGTCTCGCTCACGCCTCGACCACGCTTCCAGTGTTATTATTACATACTTAGCTAACTTAGACCATTTTTAATTCTAATAAGTGTTACATTATCGTACTTAAATAGTGCTAGCGACGCGTGTGTCAATAAATTAGCAATTTTAGGAGGATATTTTGAGTCACTTTATTTTACTCTTTTTTTTTGCACAAATGGGATCAGTATCAATAAGTCATTATCCAGAATTTTTTTTTTCGGTGATTAAAATTTAGTGGTGTATACCTACTCATTTGTATTTACTCTGCTAGTACTACGTATGGCCTTCCAGAAACTGCTGCAGCAGCCGGGCGAGGACGTGACGGGGCCCATCAGCTCGGTGCACCAGTTTGTGCGCATGCCCGACCACGAGGCACACCCCTTCGATCCCGTCAGCGACACCTTTGAAACGGTCAGTTTGTGTGGTATACATACAATCAAGTCGAGTTCACTGCGCACCCGGCAGCTGTGACATCAAATCTATGCTCTACGGGTCGAACGTGAGGTGTGCGAGTGAGTGCGAGGAAGAGTCGCATTTCAGTCCAACGTGTTTGGCTAACCCTCATCCGAATTTATGACGGCACCAAAATTTATTTGATTCCAACTGGTTCTTATAGAAAACATGAAAGTTCGCTTGACTCACGACTGATTCTCCATGGAATAGTACACTAAATTAGTACCCGGGTCTTTCTTAGAAAGTTTCGTTGCGGTTAACGCTTTAATCATGTCTAGCTCTCTCTTACAACATTCTAATGCACTTAGTACCGGATTAAGACTATTGAATGCCCTAAGCAATCTAATCCACCCCCACCCCACCATTTTTGGTGCACATTTTGGTGCCCCCTAAGTAAAACTCAGTAAAACTCAGTAAAAACTCAGTAAAACTCATTTATTTCTGTAAATAGGCTTAAAAAAAGCACTTTTACGACGAGACGTGATGAAGCTCAAAAGAAATTGAAAACTGGCACTGATCGTATCTGGTTCTTCTACAGAACGTAACCGTCCGCGGTTGCGTGCCAGCCATGGGCTACAGCTTTGCGGCCGGCACCACCGACGGGCCCGGCGCCTTCGACTTCCGACAAGGGACCACCTCGGGGAATGCTCTGTGGAACGCCGTCAGAGACTTCTTGGCAGAACCTACACCGGCTGACGTCCGCTGTCATGCACCCAAGCCTATACTGCTCGCTACTGGACGAGTAAGTAGCTTGAGACTTCTGCCAGGGGACCACCCCAGGGAATGTGCTCTGTGGAACGCCGTCAGAGACTTCTTGGCTGAACCGGCTGACGGGTAAATTCTTAAAAGGTTAATATCCTCAATAATGTCAGTTAAATGGGATGGAATCTCAATGGCAGACAAGCGCCGTTCATAGCCGAACGATGTCTATGAACTTCATGGACATCGTTCGGCTATTGGTCGCATTAAAAGTTGTTTGAAATATTTGTGTAAATCATGTAGGTAATGCGTGTACATAATTAAGCAATACTTGATATAAAATTTGGTACGTCACTGTGACGTTCGATGACGTAGGACGTAAGCAATCTTGGATTGAGCTACACAACCTAGTAATAATTTACAGACAGGAATACTACTCCGGTGACAGTGGCTTCGTAAAACCTTCATTAATGTCCAAATTAAATTTAAGGGTAGGTATACCCAGCATTGATGAAACAAACGCTAGCCGTAACAGCGTATTACACTTGAAAATTTCGACGGGTTCATCCAGTGTCTAAGTAGCTCAGTTGGAAGAGCAGTCACCCGGCAAGCGGAAGGTCGTGGGTTCAATTCCCGCTTTAGGCAGTTCGATTTTTTCAAGTTATTTATAGTAATTTTCAAAATGTCCAAATTGTGTCCCACAGATGAAGTTCCCGTACGCGTGGCAGCCGAGTATCGTATCAGTGGCGTTGGCTCGCCTCGGTCGCGTGACGCTGGCCGCCGCGCCTGGGGAGCTTACTACTATGGCCGGCCGGCGCTTACGCAGAGTGTTAGCGGCCACTGGTGCTGAGAAAGTTGTTATAGCGGGCCTGTCTAATGTCTACTCGGACTACATTACTACACCGGAGGAGTACCAGGTAAGGAGACATCCCTCCATCTTCCCATGGTCATAATAACCCAAAGGTTTTTCCTGACCGAACAAGGGGAGAAGTGTGCGGAATTGTGTGCCACACTTCTCCCCCTTTGGGACTCTTCCCCTTCTGGGGCAGCACAAACAAACATCGGCTCTTATCTTTGCTACCTATACACGATATCCTAAAGCCGTCTGAAGTTCGAAACGAGATCGGAGTATCGAGCTGGACTGATTGACCAGGTAGGAAAGTCCCTGGTTACTATCCCTATTGTATTAAGCTGCGGGTCGCGTGACGCTGGCCGCCGCGCCGGGCGAACTTACTACCATGGCCGGCCGGCGCTTACGTAGAGTGTTGGCGGCTACTGGTGCTGAAAAAGTTGTTATAGCGGGACTGTCTAATGTGTATTCGGATTACATAACCACTCCTGAAGAATATCAGGTATGCCATGACTATAGTATAAGACTAATAGATACCCCTGACGAGTACCAGGGTAGGGAGAGCCATACAGCACCTATGTCTGTTACGATTTCACTCATTTCACAATTAAACTGCTACCATGCGCCGGCGCAGAAAGACTCGCCATGATACAGTTTATGCTTCGTGTGTTTCTATAGTATTTTATTAATAATTTATTTTATAAAATAGTGTAAATAATTAACTGTGTTAATGTTATTTTTTCAGGCTCAAAGATATGAAGCAGCTTCTACGATTTTTGGACCTCACACCTTGGATATTTATTTGAACAAATACAAGGAGCTATCTGAAGCATTAAATTCGGTAAGTCTCTTTTCCTTTAACTTTCTGATTTTTTTTTAAATAAGTGCAAAATTTTGCTTGTTTTGGGTTGGGGAGGAGTCTTCTTTCGTCTTTGGTACAAAGAGAGGGTTTTTGAAATAAAGTTAATATAATTATCCTACTACTATTATAAATGCGAAAGTTTGGATATCTGGATGTCATGGTGTCTGGATGTTTGTTACTCTTTCACGCAAAAACTAATGAAATATTATCCTGTATTTGCCTGACGTTTCGACCGGTTTAGACCGGCCGTAGTCACAGACTGACTGGAGCGTCGAGCGCGCGATTATGCTGACATATTTGATATACAGTGTGAGTCACGTTAAAGTGTACATATGAAAATAGATGAAACTAGACCTATTTTTATCGACAAAAAAGAGGTCAAAAATTTTTCGAGATTTTTTTAAAAAAATTTATAGAATTTTTTTTCTTCCAATTACTTATTGTAAAGAAAACGTAATAACTTTTAACCTAAGCGGTATGTCCTAATAAAATAAAAACAGTCATAATGCTTAATAACAAGGGATACTAAAAAATACATAAAATACACAAAAAAGGCCAACAAATAATAAAAAATTATACTTTTTGAAAAAAATCTGTAAAAATTTAAAAAAAATCTCAAAAAATTTTTGACCTCTTTCTTGTCGATAAAAATAGGTCTAGTTTCATTTATTTTCATATGTACACTTTAACGTGACTCACACTGTATTATTCGAGGACTTACGACGTGAACCCGGTCCTCCCAGGGCGCGTCTCTCGAGCCCGGGCCGGAGCCGCCGGACTACAGCAGCCAGCTGATCACGCTGGTGACGCCGGTGCTGTGGGACGCGGCGCCGTGGGGCAAGGAGTTCGGAGACTGCCTCCACCAGCCCGAGAAGCGATACGGGTATGGGGACACCGCCACCGCTACTTTTGTAAGTATTAATGGGTTCAGGTCTAAGTAATCTCTAGTAAGGGTCAAGGATCGGGAGATTCTCGCTCAGGGGGAAGGAGGTTTCTCGCCCCAGAGAGGGGAGGGGGATTCCTGAATTCCTACCTTTGTAAGTATTGCTGGGATAAGGTGTCTAGTAAGGGCTAGGGGGAGGGGATTCTCACTCAGGGGGAAGGAGGATTCTCGCCCAAGAGAGAAGAATTCTCGCTCAGGGGAGGGGGATTCTAGAATCCTGGGCGAGCCCATTCTCACGAAGCAGAATTCTTACCCAGAGGGTGGATTCTCGCTCGGGGAAGACCGATTTTCGCACGGTAAGAAAGGGTTTCTCGTGCAGGGGGCAAGAGGATTCTGAAGAAGAGGGGTGAGGATTCTGGCCCAGGGGTAGGAGGATCCTTACCCAGTGGTAAGAAGATTCTCGCTCAGGGGTAGGATGATTCTCACCTAAGGGGACGGAAATTATCGCTCAGGGGAAGTGGGGAGTTTAGTCTAGGGGGGCAGGTGGCAACTGCAATTTTTCTACATAACAAAATTTATTACACAGTTTTGTGACTATCTGTCTCAGTTGCTCAGGCTGGCATCTTGCTTTCCATGACATTGATAGAATATTCAACAACTTTAGGACAGTGTAAGATTTTAAACTTTCGCGTCCCATTTCAACTAAAATAGTGAGACACGGGTCTTACTATTTTAGGACAGTGGCCTACAGTGGCCCTGCACATCACTCGCAATAGGGATGATGACTGGGTAATTAAATCGAAATTCTATTTAGTCCGTCAGACAGATAATTAGAAAATATTAGACTTATATTTTTTATTTTTTTCCATAATCCAATAATTACAGTATTATATTGAGTTGAAATGTTATGTGACGTCACTTTTGAGTAAAAATTCTACTCAAGCGTGACGTATCGCGCCATTTCAACTCGATGTAG